GTACTAGTTTCATAAATCATCCGGCAATATGGGACGTGGGAAAGACTTAACAGAAGCCGAGAAAGCCACTATTATAAAAGAAATTGCAAAGGGCGAAACAACCAAATGAACTGCTGAAAGACTATATCACCATGTGGTCACAGTGACAAGATTTTTGCAAAATCCTTCAAAGAGGAAACCTCCTTCTGATCGCGGCGTTAGAAAATCAGTGTCAAAGCGGGATATGTATCGCCTGAGAAGAAACTTGCGTAAAATGCCAGGAACAACAAGTAAAAGAATCTTTAAAGAAGCAGGTCTGCCAGATGTACCAAACATGACAATATGAGCCCCGATAAAATGTGTAATTTTGGGCTTTGTGCATGATGGGACAGTTACCTCAAACATTGAGGTATGTATCCTGTGATGCATTGCCTGGATTCGTCTCTAATTTCATGTTTTTCCCAGCATTATATCCACACTTAACTAGCATCAACAATGTGCACCTTATCTCCTCTGCAGGGAAAGGAAAGGAAATGCAGAGAAAGGATAAAAAAAAATGTAAACCTTCATATCATACCATGTAAACATATAAATATAAATATTTTGCCATGCTATTTATACATAAATTTTGAGCGACTCGGTTCATGACTATCCTTGGGAAGCTATGTTCCATCAAGACTATGATTAAAAGGCCTTCTTTGACACCTAGGGATAAACGTTTTCTGATGGAATGGTCAAGAAAGTATATGAAGACAGACATGAAGCTTGTTCTTTTACTGACATGTCGAGAGCGTCACTAGATGGTCCTGATGGCTGGGCTAAAGGATGCATGTGTTTTCAATGGCGATAATTGTCTAACAGGATGAGGCGTCAACAAGGTGGTGGTGGGGTTATGATTTGGGGCGGAATCATTGGAAATGCTATCATGGGTCCCTTCATCGTTCCTGATGTTCTAAAGTTGTCCTCAGACACGTATTTCCCCTTCCTGAAAAAATCACTTGTGCCATGGTTGGATAACCTTCCTTTGGCAACATTGAAGAAGATTATCTTTATGCATGATAATGCACAGTCCTATGCAGCAAAGGCAACAACGCAATTTCTTCACTCACTTGGACTTGCAAATTAAACCCTGATGGTTTGGCCTCCAAACTCACCAGATTCAAACCCAATAGTGCACTTGTGGTCAATAATAGAAGCGTCATGTTCATGCGAATGGCAAGCATTACTCATCAAAAGATGATCTGCGGATGGCCTTCAAAGTCACCATCCCTAAGTCCACCATCGAGAAAGTGACTGATTCAGTGAATGATAGACTTTTTGAAGACATCAACACTCGCGGGGCCTATGTTAATAATTAAATAAACTTTTTCTATGATTTGTATTGTTATGTTTGACAACTTCATCAACGTGTATATTTCTAAAAATCTGTGTTTGAATTTGTAAAAATTTGAAAAACTTAAATATCAATAAAAATATGAGACAATAACTTATTGTTTATCAACGTAGTTTTTCTGAAATGTAACTGATATCGTGGTTCAGTAAAAAAAGCATATAATATAAAAAACCCTTTACAGTATTATATTTGATAAATTGAGCAGCTGTGTAGAGTTTACAGCCAATATTTCGTAAATTCAATATATTTTTATGACAATTTGCCATTTTATGACAATATCGTGGTTCGCACTGTAGTTCAATAAGGAAAGAACAATTTAACAAAAACCAACACCGATACGTCTGTCTAGAATGTCCAGCGTTTGCAATCTACAAAAGAGAATAAGAAATATTATATTATGAATGGTTTAAATTAACATCGCCATTAACCTAAATGAACAAGTTTTATTACTGGTTAATTAAAAACAATGTATATGTGTCTATATGAAACACTACAAAACAAAGGAATAAGTTAGGGCTGCGTAGCAGAGGAAAGCTCAGAGCAGCTGAGTCCAACTCCCCTTTGTGGAGCTCACAGAGGCTAAGTCCTCCTTGCTATAACTTTTTTGTCAATTTGGGCGGCTACCTTCCAACATTAGTGCAGATTGCATAATTATATCTTGTAAATTTCTCTGCAACTGTAGGCCTAAGATTGAAATGATGCGATAATGATGTTGGTAATCTGCACTCGGTTTCTTTGTAGGAGAATCTTGTATGCACTATTGAAAACACGCGTAGGAGTGTTAAATCATATTTAAACTGCGAGTGCCCAGCACGATCATTTTACAGTACATATGACAAAACACGACTATAGAAGTGTTTTGAATAGCTTGAAACACGACTACAATAGATGCCGTCTCATTAGTATTCTTTACTAAAGACTACTAATTATTAGGATGGATTTTAAATAAAAAATACTAATGAAGATGAGTTTTATCAGGTATAAAGCCTCTTCACGTGACATATTATGGTTGACATGATTTTCCAATAAGCTTATGCATTATCAATGCGTGTGTGTTTGAATTTATATCCAGTCATTTCTTGAAAAGTACTAATTGCGAAATTGTTACAACCAAAAATAAATCTGGAACTGTCCATGTTTATCATGTCGCACCATTCACGCTATGTCATCCCACGCCTTTTCACCCGCCGTTCCTTTGAGACCCCCGGCCCCTCTTGTTATCGTTTTTGTTCTAATCTTTCTCAACACATTCCAGTCGCGTCGATCTCGAGAGATCGACGCCTATAGAAATTTCATACCTTCGGTTCAGTGCATGCTATGAAGACAGAAATATTACCATTCGATTAAAAAAAAAAAGATCAACTAGTTACAAGCGGTAGTTATAGTCATTATTAACATTGTAACGATTTATGTGCCTTTGAAAGTCAAACGCGATCGTATACTATCAATTTACGCAATTGTCTGAACAAAAATATAGACTAGCCATACCTTTCGCTGAAAATAACTTCGGCCCCTTCCAACATATCGTCTTTGCAATAGCCTTGTTAGATCCCCATTAAAAACCCTATTTAGAGTGTTATTTTCAAGCCTGTATCTTCAAATATGTATCTTTTATCAATATATTTCCATTTTTTGTCCGACTGTGAGCTCGAAGTGAGGTAATCCCAACCGAAAATACGACTTAAAACCGTCAAAACAATGCGATGTTTGTATCGTATGACCCTGCAAAGGCCAGAAATGGATTCGCAAGGCCGGGTCAAATTGCACCTACACGCGTGAGTTTGACGTCATCCCGGCCACAGGAGCTTCTTATTGGCCAATTGTTGCGCAATGTACGCAAGTGCGAGTAAAACCCGACATCTTGAAAAATTCAAAATAAATATTTCTACTCGCCGTATTCAAACGAAATTTTGTACACGAAAGCGCCTGAACACATAGCCTGCTCACAGACGTTGTAGTTCTTACGCCAAGCGACGAAATACTACCGTCTGCTTACCCGAGCGCCAAACTGAATTCCGCTACGTCGACCAATCAGAATCCAATCCAAATTCTGGAAAGTGACGTCAGTTGATTTAGGAGCGGAATAAATATAAATATATATTTTGAAAGCAGTCGTCGGTTGAATTTTGGTCAAAATTGCACATAAATTGAATTTAAAGATACTGATACTTGTCCAGGTAATAAAATGCACCATTAATGATCAGATTTGGATATTAAAGATGTTCGGTTATATTTAAAACGCGGACAGGATTGGCATATTTATGCTGTATGAATCTTAGCCAGACAGCATCAAAATATGCCGAATATATTTCGCTGAAATTTTAACGGTTTATCTTTATAAGACAACAGACCTCGGAAGACAGAAAATTTTGTATAATACTGTTGCTTAGAAAGCGAAATATTAGCTTCAAAGTAAACTAATTTCTGTTTGAGCAACCACTTCTGAATGTAAACTCTAAACACAACACAAACCCGAGAAACTTGTATTAAAATTGCGCCGTGATGAATTAATTTTCCAAATTGCCCAAACTTCGAAACGTTTATAGTCTAACTTGGCTATACTTTTCTACATGACAATGAGAGCTTAATCTTTCGTCGAAGTCATGGCATATAGGAAGTATCAAGAGCAACATTTGGACATATCCTGATATACTCGAGTTTGCCGATTGATTGTTTGTCATTGTTAACAAAAATTTAAATTTCGCCTACTGCATTGCATTAGCACTTTATATACACCGATTGTTTGCTGAACATGCGAGAAGATGATCACAATATTATTCTACGTAAACATCGTGAAGTTCAACGCTATAGTTTCCAAAATATATCCACGCAAGTAAACAAATTTCAAGTTTCAACCCAAACAATATATTCCAATGCATGTGCAAGGGCTTTCCCCAGTAGCTAAACTCTCAATAAGGCGGCTTCCAATTGGCTCTAACTTTTTTGGTAAACAAACCGTAAGTATTCTGTCCATTCCCGTTTGTTCGGTTGAGGGGGATATCGATTTATCAGGAGTTTTCAGTTTTGTAGGAATGGGTGATGATTCTCCCGATTTTTCCTAAAAGAGGCCGGTATTTGTCGTTGAGGAGATTTTTGTTAGGGTCATAGTTGCTATTAGGTGAAATTTGGTGGTTCACGTTATTACCTGTTGTCTAACTATACGGGGTTTTCCCTTCGGATTGCCATGTATATTTGTGTTTAACTGCTTATTTGGGTAGCTTCGTAAACGTTCGGCGCTTCTTTTGTTCTATCTGGTAGGTGTCTACACTGATTGTTTACTAATTGTTTTCTGGAGACACTACTACGATTAGCGTCATTGAATTTTTCCTGGTTACCATCGTAATTTTCGTTAAGTTCAACATTATTCGTTTGGATTGAAGTTTTGTTATTAGGCTACTATTAAGTATCCTGCATGATTCCAGAGCCTTCGACAGGAAATAATAAATTGAAATGTCTGAATAAATTGAGATTCTGAATAAATCGAGATTCTGTACTAAAACCACTAATTCTGTTTTGTGATTGGCGCGGTTTAATCAAATAAACTCCCCGTTGAACCAGAGCCTTCGCGACATTTCAATTTATTATTTACTGTCGACGGCTCTGGAATCCAGGGTAGCTATTATGCAACCATTATGCAAGTCCCATTAATGGTAGAGGAGTTGGGGAGAATATTATCGAGAGGCTGTGTTGACCATGCATCAGCCCTCGCACTTGAGTTGATGGCACTTTGACCAGAATCAGCTTTTTGTATATTACCCTCCACGTCTACAATCCTACTATTATTAGAGAGCTGATTCCGACTTTCCAACGCTTTTAGCTTTTGTTGAAGCTCATTGATTATAACGTCTCGAGCATGTATTGCTTTATTCTTTACGTCTAAAATTACGGCGAATTCGTTTACCATAGAATCCATTCTATGGTCATAAGATAGAAAGTGGTCAGTTGCGTAACTACTAGTGGCCCAACTTGGCCGAAAGCAGGGACCCTGGAGAAGCAACTTCTTAGGGGGCGCTTGTCTAATATCAAATAATACAAATATTGTATTTTAATTAAAAGTGTGAAAATATCATATATTTGTCTTAGATGCGAAAAGCTCTGTATAACACCAATGTTCAATTGTAACGAGTTTATACTATAATTTTTAAATCGACGTTATTTGGTAGAATTTTCAAAATGTCAAGTGAAAGCAACGTTTATGACTTTATGTTATTTGATAATCATTTTAATGTACCTCACGTCCTCGCCTTGTGTTTCCTCGTGTTATTAATTATTTGTCTACGAACTAACGAAAGGTATGCATTATTTATCTTTTTGACTTCAAAGTTTTATTAAAATTTAGAATTTTAACATATCTACGTAATACGATTTAGGTACTGCGCGAGTCCGGGCCCGTCGTATTGAAATTAGCGAATTCGCGTGCAAATTTGCCTATGCATGTGAATAATGTTTTTTACTGACGAGCAGAAAGTATTTCTGCTTTACAAAATATATTATACCGCGCTTTTGATCAAAGTTATTTGATATACAAGACGTGTATGTAGCATAAAAATACTGCGTAGCTGTCCAAAATCTAAGCGCAATAAACAGCTAAAGTATGCGCGTTTATTGCAAATATTGTTGAAACATATCCTCAGAATATTGATACATGTTAATTACATCATTATTTAAATGTATTTGTTCTCTATCTTTCATTTTTTCAACGAAATACTCTTAGAACTTTGGTAAATACAATATGAGTTTATATTGTCAAGTTTAGCTTTACCCAGCCAATGACGTCACCAAATGTATTTATGCATAAATTAGCATACGCGGTTATTTTCAAAATGGCGGCTAATCTTCAAGTTTGTAACGAATTTTCTCTACAACTAAGTGCGATAGAAAAACAAAAATACGAAATTAAGTATTCCGTAGGGAAGCTTAATAGAAATAGGCAATAAAAATTTTGGGTGCCATTGCCTTTAAGTAGCTTTTTTATATATGGGAAAATTAAATAAAAATATATAATATATATAAGACCATACAAATTTGTAAACAACTATTTTGAACGACAAGTTGTCAATTTCGAATTACTGCATTTATTCAAATTAACACGAAATCAAATATAAAAATATTTATATAGATTTGCTAGTTAAAATTATACTCTATAGCAATGTACTTAATGATACACTTAAATGCTACTCATATATAGTTTTAGTTTTAATTTAGGCTTCTACCAAAAATATGCTGTAAAGGGACTTTATTATTAAGCAAAAGTGCTCGGGAGTCGGGTTTTATTTGAGCGCATAAAATCCGAAAACTTTTGAAACCATAAAAGTCTGAGAACTCATAATACCCGCGAGCACTTTTGCACTTTTCCGTTATATAATCTCAGTCGAGCGAGATTATTTGAGAAGGATACCCAACACCTCTAACCCAACACAATAGCCAAGGCGGTCGCGCTCGTTTTATCATTTCTTTGCTTGAGCAGCACAGAGCCACATAGCTGCTCAAGACTGAATTTCTTTAGATCATCCTCCCCAGTTTTTTTAACACAGTAGAGAGTTTCTTTCTAAAACACAAATCGCTAACTTCCTGGGAAACGATGTCAAGCACTTTCTGTGTAACCACCTTGCGGACGGGTTGCATTTCATATTACTGCCCGGCTTGATCAGATCAGCTATACCAAGGGCACTTCTCCCGTCATACAGAATATAAACAAGTTGATTATTTCAAACAGGCGTGTAATATATTTTAACAGCAGTAAACACTGAGATATATTTAGCACTGAACAATTAATTAGTCACTACTGAATTTGGCGGGAAGCATACGTCATGCCGTTTCCTGATTGGTCAAGTTGAAACAATCGCAATGGAATGTGTTGCTGCAGTAAGCAGGCTGTTCGTGGGGAGAAAACCTCTGACCCGCGAACAGGCTGCGTAGGAGACTACAGAATAGATAATAGGACCAGAAGTCTCACTCAAGCGGAAACATGTCCCATCTTTTATACTGCGCATGCGCGAGCTAAACAAGTGTAATGCAGTGTTGACAATAGAAAATTATATTTAGTCTAGGACCTGTATATGAGTTGTATGCGTTTCATTTAGCACAGGTAATCTCAACTGTTTTAGGGCAAAATGACCATGGCGGTCAACATGGCATATGTGCCAAAACCTGACCAAAAAATGACCCCGCCCTGAAACGGCAGTTCGACATAGCTCTAACTTCAGAAAACAAAAAGCGATAGTCCTTCTGAAGTGCTTATAGTGTTTAGAAGGGTTGCTTTTAGGGGTGGTCATTGGAAGAAAAAAATTGTTTAAGTAAATATTTTACAAGAAAATGACCATGCACCACCCCAGGTAACTTGCTAATTATGCATAAAATAACTAATATGCCTGGCAGAAATTAAATATTCTTATTTCCTAAACAAAAATATCATGGGGGTGAAAAACTATGCTCAATTTAATATAAATATTGTTGATATTATAAGGATTGTCATTTTTTCTTTAAATATAATACATTTTATTTCACTTACGCCCCACGAAAACACGATTTCAGCCATATTTCGCCGTCTTGTTTGTTTGCTTTTTATCGCCGAATCTCGCAAATATATATATATATATATATATATATATATATATATATATATATATATATATATATATATATATATATATATATATATATATAAATATATATATGTTATTTACCGGCTGCGAGGTCCGGATGAGAAAAACTGTGCGCGAGGTCTTGAAAACGGCCCGAGCCCGAAGGGCGAGGGACGTTTTCAAGACCGAGGGCAGAGTTTTTCTCTTCCGGACCGACGCTGCCGGTAAATAACGTGTTTATTTTTTATCAGATATAAAAATTAAATTGATTAAAATTCCAGTGTTGCTTGCGAACTAATTTGAGATCAGTGCAGTTGTGTATTTTCAAAGCGAGGCTGACAAAAATTGAAATTTGAAAAATTGAATGATATAAAACACGATACGAAAACTCGAAAAAACTGGCAAGAAAGACACAAAAAGACGTATAGTTTCAGTAAAAATGTACATGCTTTTTTCATGAATATGGTATAGAAGAGAAGCTTTGGAATAAAAACTTTTATGCCAGGCGTTTTGGCTTTGGCTTTGACAAAATCAGTTGCTCCTGACAAACGACAAGTTCATGTTCAGATCAGATCAAAAACATATAAAAATGAATCTGTTTTCATTTAATCGACGTTTTTCTACTAAAAGGTCAATGAAAAGGGTATGTTGTTTTTATATTTTCGTATTTTTTCTTGTCGTTTCACGATAATATGCTTGAAAAAATTGTTTTTAATTTAAACACAAACTTTTACTTTGTTTACAATATTTATATCAGTGAAGAATGTATGACACAAATGGGTAGAGAATATATTCGTGACTTGTTTTCACTGCTGCAAATAAAACTTTTTTTAAATGGGAAAACATTTATTTTACAATAACTGTCTAAGCTGTAATTTTTTCACTTTTAAGTGGCCGAATACATGAGCATTTAAAAAATATGTAGTTTTCTCGACGTAACTTTTATACATGCCGAATAATTTTCCGACTTTCAGTCGCATTTCTCGAGGCATTTCTATCAAAATATTGTCAATTCTGGTGAACATCGTGCTTAGTATGAAGTCTTTAGGGCTTGATGCAATTCATTTTTGTATTCTGACTATCGTTAGGCTATGTTTTTCAAACGTTTTTGGCAGATTTTTTCTTTTAAAAAATTGTTTCACTCCTCAGTTTTTGTCGCGAAAGCCAGAGCGGGCAGTTGCATTTCACAGCGGGCAGTTGCGTTTCAGAGCGGGCCGGATGCAAAAAACCGGCCCGCTCTGAAAGGCTCTCAGCCAATCAGATTGCTTCATTTTCACTGATAAAAAATAAGTTAGAATATTAACCAAGCATTCTGGGTTCAATCCCGGACATTCCCCTTGCTTGTAATGGAACATGGGTCTTAGGACAAGAACAAGACAAGCTTGGAGGTAACTTTCAGGAGTATCAAACAGCTGACGGGGAGGTTACCGGTGTCAATCTTTGGGATAAAGTCCTTTCTCCATTCGAGATCGTGAGAGTCTCCAGAAAATGCGAATCTGGAGGAGCTACTGGAATCGTGAAGACCTGGGCAGATTTGGTGTCTGGAATTGAAGAAAATGTGAAGATTACATATCCAACTTGCCGTTGAACGTGCTATCCCTTTCTTCTTTATACTATTCATTAACGTTGATTGCTTTCAATTGATACCATGCAATTAGTCTTGACTTTTGTTCATAATTCAGTTCTAATAATTATGATTCAGTGTATGTGCATCAAATTATATATGTCACTTCAAAGCTGCGGAGATTGAGAGAGATATAACTACTTGAAAACTAAAACAAGCAGAACTTCGACGTTTTAATCAACAAAAGGCCTTCGCTCGCTCGAAACATCGAAGTTCTTCCTGTATTTTTCAGGTATAGTTTTATCTCTCTCGATCTGCAGCTTTCTTGTATAAGAAACCAACTTTTACGTAACCTGATCCTCGGAATCCAATGGAAAAGTGCAAAAAGTCCTACGTATACTGTTACGCGTGTTGGAGAAAAAAGATTTCCCAGTGTAAGGTATTTGCTTTAAGAAGTATTTTAAACCTTACTTGGTTTTGAGGTGTTTTAGTTCTTGTAATTTTACTGTCCTGGTCTTCACGCCTGTTAAATCATGCACCCTGTTTTATATTATAGGGGGAGAGAGAGGGCAACCTATGATTTTTTCCAATTCCAATCATAAGGTGGCTCCGTACAGTTCTCTAAAATTTTAGGTAACCTCGTCAAAGCTATAAGAAGCCTGGTGCTTTATAAACCCACTGCATGTAAGTTAAGCTTTTTAATTTCGTATGTTCAGGGAGTCAAAAACAACTGGTATCTTTTAAGAAAAAAATGTAATTTAATCCATTGTCCAGCAAATTTTTCCCTAAACAATAAATTGAATTTAAATACTTGTAAAACTACTGTTTCCTGGCCAAAAAAGACACTCAAAACTTGCGTTTTCGCTCATTTTGATAACCAAAAAAAAATTCGCGCGCCTCCGTAATCATTCAGGCCAGCGCAAACAAATTCACATGTTATCTCCAAGGCAGTATTTGTTTGAATACGAAGTTAATGGTATACAGTTTATTCCTGTTCTTTGAGTGAAAGCTGACAGAATCTCCTTTTCTTTAGAAAACATCTGCAATGAAACCAAAAACTTTACTCGTTTCTTCAACTACAGGCGTTTAACTAATAATTCTGAGCGCGCAGTTGGCGAGAAATAATTCTCAAATTCATTAATAATTCATGAGTAATTCAGCCAATGATAATCACCTATTTGATCACAAGATGCCATTTGGATACTTGATGAAAGTCACTAGTGTTTTCATCAAATATCTTAATTACGCATGCAATATTACTTGAATAGAATTCCTAATTACGTTATGCTTGGTTATGAATTCTATTCAAATCAGCAAGCGAAAACATTCTGTTACGTCTCGATTCATTTGAGAAGCCATATAAACAACTCGAGCTCGTGTCTCACCGGGATATCCAAACACTCGAAAACAATGTATGAAAACACTCGCGCTTCGCGCTCGTGTTTTCATACATTGTTTTCTCGTGTTTGGATATCCCGGTGAAACACTCGCTCACGTTGTTCATATATTACGTGAAATACCTTGTGAAACATATGTAGTGATCTCAAGTGAGTAGGATAGTGACGTGACAACGGCGCCCACTAACAGAGTACAATAAATGTGTTAGATAGGACCATTGAAATGAATATATAACTGGAACGCTATTGACTGCTCATGACAATGAAACAATTGTTGACCGGTCAACAATAGCATGGGTGCAGTGCGCATGCGTGTCAACCGTGAAGTTCCAAAATTCATTTTATTGATCTTTTTTTATTAAACGTTTATGGTATTCCATTTATCTAGTTTTGGTTTCAAAGTTCACTCCAATAACCGGTGAATTATTTCATGATACTTTGACACTTTTATACTATATAACAAAACACTTGTTTACTGAAATAAGTGATAAATATAGCGTCGTTCACAAGAATTCGTACCAAGCATATACAATGAGTTTGCTTTGACTGTTGTGTCGTGATTTTATTATATACTGTCTTGTAATATGCAAAACAGGTATACAAGTGCTAAATGGAAACAAATGTAAAAGACACCCCCTCCCTCCAGTACACCCCTCTCTAACAAAGGGCTCCCTTTTGCACGGTCAGCCAGGTAAGATCGAATACTCGCTATCTGCCTAAATGGAAGGACGTTCAACATCTCCGGTTTTGTAAAGCGGGGGGAAGAGGTTCAGAAATATCCATTCGATCCCGATTTAAAGCGATTAGTTTCAATCACCATTCTCCATAACCTTTGTTGTCTACTAGCATGATCGGATCAATTCATAGTGTATGGGGCCGATTACATGGAACTTTCAACCCCGGGGTTGAACTCGGCCCTGTTAACCGGGTTGAAATTTTTTGCGATTATATGGGCGATTTCAACCCCGGGGTTGAAACGCTATACTATACGTTCTCGGCATCGATTCCCGGAACTCGGAAGTAGAAAAAGCCCTCATTTTGTTTTCTTGTAATAAATAGTCACTATCACGCATGCTCGAATAAGTCATGATAATTTCAGCCCTGGGTTGAAAGGATTACATGACAACATTTTCAACCCAGGGCTGAGTTCAACCCCGGGGTTGAAATTTCAACCCTGCTTGGCTGAAATTTCAACCCCGGGGCTGAAATTTCAACCCCGGGGTTGAACTCAGCCCTGGGTTGAAAAGTTTGTCATGTGGTAATCGCGCGTTTGATTTTGATAGAGTTTTGCATTATACAGACAGGACTGAAATTTCAACCCAGTAATCAGGGCTGAGTTCAACCCCGGGGTTGAAAATGCTCCATGTATTAAACCGGCCCCTTATTGCATATAAAAGCTCTTATATTCCCATAAATCTTGCAAAGACAAAGTAATGATTAATGTGTTAAAATGTACGTCAAGTACACCAACTCACCAATTTCCAGTCTTCTTTCGTGTTATGCGTGTAACCCAATAAATGGCATATACCATGAGTCACATAAACCTAGTATTAAAAATGGTCGATTGATATATACTAAGAATCATTATTATTATAATTATTATTATATTTATATTTATCCAGGATACCTACGTCACCGAAGTGAATCATAAGAATAGAAAACAAAGATTTCATTGTATAAGAACGTTTATTATATAAAGTATAGTGCTTTAAATAGTACTTCCAGCACTGATAAAAGTGATAATCTCACATGTGAGATTATTCATGATAATCTCACATGTGAAAATTATCGCTTTTCAATTATCGCTTTTCTGGAAAAATTGTCGCTTTTCAAAGACTGTCCTTTATATAATAACCAGAATAATACATGGATGCTTAGAAATACCAGATTTATTTCTCGTGTTGAACATGATATCTCACTCGTTCGCTGCGCTCACTCGTGAGATATCATGTTCAACACTCGAAATAAATCTGGTATTTCCGAGCACCCCATGTATGATTCTCTATGTAATTAACGTGCAAGATCCGCGGTCTCACACTGCATGGGAAACCTTTTTCGAAACCATTAGTCAAGTAAATAATGATAACTTAAACTATAATGAGAACTTTTGTGATCGTACTGCATAACAACGACGTGGATTTCCGTCTAAGACAGGAACTCGTGTGACGGATTTCCGTCTGGTATGAATGTGAAACGAAAACCATCGGACGGGTAAACCCGACAAAATAGGAGACCCTCCATCCCAGTCTCTTTGCAACGTTACGAGCAGCGTTATTCGTCTGATATAAATTTAAGACGAGTTTCCCGTCTGAAACAAGCAGCGGAGAACCAACTATTACAAGACTGATCATTATTTATTCTGGGGGGTAACACTGAAGAGAAATGTTTTTAGTGGCAAACATTTTGCTGACCCAACCATTAAAAAGTAAAAAAAATTGATTACCCAACCTCAAATATCAATTGAAAAATAAATACCCACCCCTGGCCAAAAAATTTACAAAAAGATACCATTTAGTTGTCACACATGTCCTTTATACGACCTTATACCACTTCTGTGACATGAGTTTGATTAACGGATTGTGAAATTTCCTGCAGTCTAAAGTTTCATGTTGTCTGCACATGTACTTTGTTTGGAGACACCATGACACCATTGATATATATATGACTGTTGACATTGCTTTTTATTCTCCAATATTTCAGTGAGTCATGTGCTTTGGAAATTACAGTAAATTTTTATTACCCAACCCTTGAGTTGTTTTGCTTTTTATTTACTCAACCTTTTACTCACTCAAAATCTTGTTTACCCAACCCTTTTCTCATCGGTGCCACCCCCGCAATAAATAATGACCGGTCCCTACGTCGAGCTCTAACTTAACCACGATTCATGTATATATACTAAGGTGATACCATGGTAAGGTTTATAGGTAAAAGGATTTTGTAGATGGAAATTTCGAGTGTAAATTTTACAGGCCTTAAAATATCTTTTCCAGGGCCGTCTGACAAAATGTCCGATGACGTTGAGTTTGGGTCGAACATATGTCCGATGACCTTCAGTTCAGTTTTGACTTGGAAATAAGTCTGAATGACACAAATGAATAAACGGTAAATGTTGTAAAGATATTAAATAATTTGTTTCTTTCATACTTATTTCCTAGCCAAAATTAACTTACTTGCCAGAACAGACAACATTTCCAGTTCACCTTTTTCTCTAGTCCCGGACTAGGACTAGGACTAGGGTAGCCTCCTCCGCAGGCATCTCGTAGTTCACGTGCTTTTTGCCTGCAAGAAATTTTGCCCGATAATCGAAAGGCAATGCCTGCGGAGGAGGCTATGACTAGGGTACATTTTGATTTACGTTGGACAAAGCTACAGTTCGGTTGGACAGCAATACACTCGGGTCCGACAAACAATAAACCTCAGTTTCATTTTGGTCGGACAGAATGTCCGGTGGTTTCCTCTCTAAGTCCGACAATTTCACGAATGGGTCGGACAATGTCCGTGACCGACCGATATTTTAAGGCCTGTAATTTTATATATTTATTTACATTTAACCAGGAGCAGCTACGAAAATTGCAACTACAGGGTGTCTAAAAAAATGCTATGGAAATTCAACAGGCTGTCGTGCATCATAAACTTAGCTAAATAATTCAATTTTTACAGCTGTTTTTTTAAGAGCTGTTATTTAGCCTTTCTATGATACATTTATTAAATCGTAACGATGAGAAATGGCCACATACTCGTCAAATAAAAATTGCCGGTGGAAATCACATTCTTCCACCGTTGCCGGAATTGCATGAAAAATGAAACATACTAGACAATTCCCTGCAAGAGGTGAAAGAGGGAATTAAAGTTGAATGATGTTAAATTATCTAAAATGAGCTCAACTCGTCAATCTTCGTCTTAGTGAGACAATAAGAACGTCCATTATTGCATTAAACATGGTTCAATTAACCTGCACTGAAAAGAGAACATTCGTAATCAAAACGTTTTACGAAACAAATACCTTGCAGCAGGCTCGCATTGCTTTTGGATTGATTAATTTTGCATAATTAATTTTTAATTCCCAACGTGGCAACGGTGGAAGAATGTGATTTCGACCGGCAATTTTTATTTGACGAGTATGTGGCCATTTCTCATCGTTACGGTTTAAAAAAGGTATCATGCATAAAACACCTAAATAACAGCTCTTTCGTCCTATGCAAAATTGAATTGTCTTACAACCAGTCTTAATTACAAGACCTCATCGAGGATTACATGTGTTCGTCTAATCATCGTCAAATGGATACGCGTCTATTACTCATCATCAAAGCGTGCACCCGTGCACCAACGGCTGGCAAGTGCAGCCTGTGTTTGACTGTAGGAAAGTGCACTAGTGCAGTTAAACTGGAAAATATTTTCTGGAGAATATTTTGCATAACTGAATATTACAAACTCAACCGTAAAATCTCCACTAAAAATCCAGGTATGAAGCGACCACCTGTGGATACGAACGTTCTTTAAGGGGATGAGTAGTTACTACGAATCGAGAAAGCCTGGGTACAAAATAGTCAAATCGGAGTACGAAACGATAAGGGTACCAAAAAGGCAGGAGTGCAAAATGATCATAAACTGGTTATGGTACTATATGCAGAACGATTTAAAACAGTAGAAAACGATGACCGGATCCTAGGGCTTTCGCTGCAGAACAACAAGTGGAATTAAGAGAAGAAGGCTGAGATTGATCGACATGCACAAAAAGAAGAGATGAAGGACAGGTGGTCAGAGACAGTATGGGGTTAGAGATATTAACCCTTTAAGTGGCAATGCGCCCAGATGCGCCCTACTTTATTATTTTACTCTGTCTAACGCCAGACGATTTTACTTGTCAGGGGGAGAGTACTGCCACTCACTGGGTTAAAAGCGACTAATGGAGGATGAGGAAGACAAAATAATGGACTGTGTAAGTTAAGTGCAAATGGCAAGGTTCAAAAAAAGAATGATAGACAACAAACCAAGAATTCAGCCTTGGGTCAGTCTGGACCTAGAGATGCATGGATAAAGGATTAGAAGAAAATGCTCAAATAATTTTAAAACTGCAGTAATTATTTTTGCATGATGCAAATAAAGAAATTAGGATAGCTGGTACATTAAACCAAGGTAGGAAACAGTAGCTATATAGACCAAACGTTTTTTGACATATTAATTATATATATTGTAGCTCACAAATGTTTGCACATACTGGTAAAGAATTTTGAAAATCTGTTTCATCTTCTACACATTGTTGTTTGATAACAGATGGACATAAAAATATATCTCCAAGGCTGTTGTCAAATCCTAGTGACTCAATCTGTAATTGTCCAGGAATAATGTCCTGCAAAGGTACAATGTAATTACAATAGGTACATGATTTAGGGCAGTATATATAGAAAAAATAATAAAATTGAGGTTCTGAATTCTGATCCCAAAATGTCAATGGACGTAACTCATGGATTGGGTGTGGCGCCAACTCAACTTGCACTCCCCCTCTAAAGAAACCAAACCATTTTAGAGATTTTTATTTAGCAGAGGTGGTTAATTAAATCATAAAAACTAAAGGATGAGATTTTTTAAAGTTTTTGATAATCCAAAACTGCAAAACATTTTTGTGACTAGTTATAGAAAACATTATTATCTCAACCAATCATACACCATGCATGCATATGTCATTGCATGTGCAAGTGGTGTTGTGTCCATAAAAGTGGTGTTATCAGGGACATAGCCAGTCCCCCCTGGCAAAATATTGGGCCCCCTTGGAAAAAATTCTGACCAGTATAAGCCATGTGATTATATTTTCATTTCTAATTGTAATGGAAATTTTATATCTTTCTATGCATGTTTTAAATGTTCTGGATTTGTTTATGAGTAAGTATAGTGTTATGTGTTAACTGGTTATTTGAAATCACCAAAACAATTAAAATAGCCCCCAAAATGCTGAAAACATCATGGTACTTTTTTACTGACTCTAGAATTAAAATTTTTTCCCAGGGTAGCATATACCCCCACACCCCCCTAAAAGTTAATTGTCCTATATTATGCATGCATGCATGCATGATATAGGGGAGTCCAAAATACATTTTCACATAATAAAATAATTTTATTCAAACTGGTGCAGGGCCTCTTCCTCACATTTTTTCGGCCCCCCTTGACTAGAAATCCTGGCTATGTCACTGATCGAGTGATGAAAGTCTAGTACTAGCTAGTAAACTTGCATGGTTTATATAAAGTACGTCAATCTTTTGTCAATTGTTTTGGTCATTGGCATGTTATAAATTTATTTTTGTATTTATTATTGTTAAGATTACTGTATTATATTGTATTAATTTTGTATATAAATTATCTATTTTTGTAGAAATCTGCACCTTTTAATTGACATAGACTACTTAAATCACACAATAGTCTTAGTCCTAGCCTGCAGAGGGGGCTGTATAGTCTAGTTCTAAGTATTAGAGGACTTAAGGTATCATCTACTGATCTGCATGTGCAGTACTCTTCACTCAGGATTTAACAATGAAATTGATCAACACCCTCAGGCTAGTATTTGCAATTCAAGTATGGAAGCTAGGGGCCATATTGGAGAATGGAGAGGGCCAGGGGCTTAACACTGTAGAGGGGGCATATTTAGCCAAGACACAGGAAGAAACTAACATGAGCTTCAGAGACAATCCATACATCTAATTATCTAGAGAGGGGTGGTTATACAATTAAATGTATTTATTTATCTTATTTAATTTAATGATTCTTATAGTTTATATACCTGATGATTTGGAAATGACAAAACGTCTGTTGATCCTTCAACATTGCGGTACACTTTATTCATCTCTTTTATGCGCAGTTTACTCACGCATATTACACCCAAGCTGTAACTTTCTATTAAATCAAATAGGTTCATTAAAATAGAGACATGACTCTGCAGATGTTTAACACTGAGTGGAACAGACCTTTGAAGATTTCGAACCACAAAGGACATTATTTCAAAATTATAAACGATGCAATATAAATATATTAAACATCTTTCATTATGAAGAAGGCTAAATTAGTTGCATGCGCATTTGATATTTATATTAAAGAAGAATTGATCTGCACCAACTTTAGGACTGGTGGAACAAAATACCAGGCTTACATGAAGTACTGAAGGTTTAATATTGAAAACAAAAATATTGTTTTACACTGGTTTTTATAGTAAAAATATAAATAGTTGAAAAAGTTCAGTATATTTTTAAATACATAGAGCATGGGTAAAAGAAAAAAGAAGACAAATAAATCTGGTATGTATATTTCTATTGTTAAATCGCTAAATTTGAAATTCTAGAAAGTCTAGATTTTTCTCACCACGTGGTGGCGATTGAAAGTCATGGTTTGATCAACAAAAACATAATTTCTTCCCATTTTAATAATTGTTGCTGAAATAAATGCTGAAATTTTTGCATGTGGCGATTTCGAAAGGATCGAGTAGACCTCAGTTCTATATGTAAATTGACTAAATTCCCATTTGTTTATAATTGTTTATCACTTTGAATTTTTAATATTCAAATGAGAATGAAAACATGCATAAAGACAAAGGGTGATATTTAACAATGAGATTGAGCATGATATGAAGAATTATCAAGCCCAATGTTTGTGCTGTCAACCAAAGCCTTCATACAAAAGTAATTAAGGGCCCACCCATGCAATTGGGTTAACCGGCCAGCACTGTCCAGCTATTGACTGAAGATCACTTTATACATAATTTCTCTTATATAATATATATAGTTATGATCTGCATGTCATGTAATGTTATTTTGAACTATATGATAATAAAGTGAAAGATAATTTTAATTAAACCAAAACAAATTAGGGGCCATTCACAAAAAATGTGACGCTTGTGGGGGTAGGAGGCTATTTGATCAGGAGTCACATAGTGTCACAAGGGGGGAGGGGTATATCACAAGTGGTATCATGTGACGGAGAGGCGTATAGGGGACAATTTATCCCTGTCTATAACAAAACAAGACTGTGTCCCTTAATAGATGACAAATCAATGTTTTCCGTTAAAATGCTCAGGACTCCTGACATCCCCATGGAAATATACGGCACTCCCGTTTATTCAAAGAACCTGAGTGGGAAACTGTTTAGGCTGAGGTTTTAAATAAGGCATTGAAATAGTGTTGATTTATAGATAATGTTTTGAATCTGTTGTTGCATATTAAATTTGTGTTTTGTGAGTTGTCTTTTTTATATATTTTTTTTTTTTTGGGGGGGGGTTGGCTCAGTGTCACATATTTTATGATGGGGTGTACTGGTAGCTGTCACATATTGTCACATATCGTAGGGAGGGGTGAAAAATTGGCAAAAACAGCTTCACATATTTTGTGAATGACCCCTTATCAATTTGAACTATTTGGGTATAAACGTGTGGGAGGAGAATTATTTTTCGTTGTATATTTGCCAAATTTCAATATTTCATGTTGTCAGGGAGGGGTAAAAAATTATTAGATGCAGATCCCCATCTCTAATATATGCCAATGCGACAGCTACTCAACATCCCACACTCTCGTACCCAGAGCCCTTCTTACGCACGGTGTGACAAGGGGCTCTGGCGAAATCCATATCCAAACTGACATCTGATTGGCCCGGATATTGTTTTCTTACCATGTTTTTATGATATCCGGTAACCCGGTTATGGATTTGGCCAGAGCCTCTTGTCACACCGCGCGTAAGAAGGGCTCTGGGTACGAGAATGAACATCCCATGGACCACTAAGATTTTAAGGTAAGTGGCAGCCTTGTCCCCAGGTCCCATAGTGTTCTCTGTGGCGCAACTTTTTGCATTGGCCCTAAGCAAGGCAGCATGTGTGCTCGCCACAAATTAAGCGCACAAAAAAGCTGTAAGACTGTGTTTTTTGTCCACATGCATCCACATAAATAGATGAGCACCCAATATGGTACACCCAGTTTTGATATCCTGGCTAAAAAACTGGAAAGTTTTCCTCTAATTTATTTGCCCCTTAATTACACCATCGGGTGAAATATGGTTATTCCAGTGGGCAGCATATTTGAAGCTAGTTTTTATTTGATAGGTGTTTCTTCCAAAGAGAATAAAAATGAAAGCAAGGATAAAGAAGAAAGTTTGCATGAACAAAAATTTACTGCAGATGATCTACTTAAAAAGGTTCAGAACTTTGATATGTGCATACTGTAGATTAGTCAACTTTAATCAATTGAATAGGTTTTGGATTTATGTCACTTAATTGCAAGCTCGCTGCGATCGAGTGCTTTCATAATACTCAACAATTTATTTTAAGTAGATGTAAACACTCTTCACAATGAGCTTGCAAGTTGGTTTTTGCAATGTGTGGAAAGGAGCCTCAAGCTAGGGAAAGATTAGCGTTAGAAAAGAGCCTGAAGAAATACAGAGAGGGAGAAATACAGAAGAGCCTGCCTGACAGCCTGAAAAAATTAGATCACCACCCATTTGGTTAATATTAAACTAAATATGCAAGCATGATTGACATTTCCGTACAAATGTTAGATAAACCATAGGCAGCCCAGCAAACACATGTATTCACTTAAAAATGCGTTAAAAACATTTAAAAATGCGCATAAAGTTCCCCTGACTTTGGTATCTAGTCTGCATACATAATGCTACACAATAACTAAGCATGATGACGTCATTGTAGGATATTATTACATAATACTATACAATATTTCTAGAACCACTGAGTATTTTAATAAAATACAAATACTATACTATATGACAATACAATGACGTAACCATGCGAGTCTGCATACATAATGCTACACAATAACTCGCATGATGACGTCATTGTAGGATATTATTACATAATACTATACAATATTTCTAGAACCACTGAGTATTTTAATAAAATACAAATACTATACTATATGACAATACAATGACGTAACCATGCGAGTCTGCATACATAATGCTACACAATAACTCGCATGATGACGTCATTGTAGGATATTATTACATAATACTATACAATATTTCTAGAACCACTGAGTATTTTAATAAAATACAAATACTATACTATATGACAATACAATGACGTAACCATGCGAGTCTGCATACATAATGCTACACAATAAAACAATACAATGACGTAACCATGCGAGTCTGCATACATAATGCTACACAATAACTCGCATGATGACGTCATTGTAGGATATTATTACATAATACTATACAATATTTCTAGAACCACTGAGTATTTTAATAAAATACAAATACTATACTATATGACAATACAATGACGTAACCATGCGAGTCTGCATACATAATGCTACACAATAAAGCGCTAGATACCAGAGTCAGGCGAAAAGCATTTTTGAATGTTTTTAACGCATTTTTAAGTGAATAGTTTACATATATTTGCTGGGCTGCCTATGGATAAACACAATTAATCCGTTTTAAATCTGATGAAAAACGTTGAGCAATATTCGCAAACGATTCCTGTGGAATCGAATTTGTAAACCAAATCTTAATTTAAACTGAGAGCAGACAAGAAGAGCCTGAATTGTAGGTGCATATAAAGTGTTTCTTCATACTGGGTGTCAACTATTTGACAATTTGTGAATTTCTTATTAAAATATTGACACGTTTGAATATCAGAAAAGTCGCTAATCATTATATTTCTAACAAATGCCGGCCTCCAAAATGCAGTTAAGATGCTTTCATCTGTATGATCTGATCCTCCGTGATCCTCCTATATCATATTGTTTTATTTAAATGCCTTATTGTGGATACATGAAGGCCTATATATATAAATAGTCATATTATTGCATGGTTATAGGGTACTATCATTTCAAAAATCGGATAGAACAGCATCATTCCTCTAATCTCGACATTAATTAAGAGTGATATTTCTGGGCCTGAGTGTGTTGAACAATTATTACGAACTTGGTTGAAGGACCTAACCCCTGAAAAATATAAAATGAACATTGTTTTTGACTTGTTCCTACAGTAGCTTGTGCTAATGCTGTGTTCAATAATATATAACAATCGGCCATCGCGGCCATTTTACTAGCAAAACGGTGATATGGGCGTTGATTGCTCCGCACGGACATTATGGCCGACCATTTTGCCGCATTACTGTACTAATTCTCCCTCGCTTTTGCAATACCAAAACGCGTAGTCTCGTATACACATGCAAAGAAAGATGTTTTTCGGAAAACAATGCAATGTGAACCCACCGTAGCGAACTTCGCAAAGTCCGTAACGCGGTTCGGTTGTTCCTATCTCTGAAAGATACCGACGACTTTTAAAACTTACAGCTCGCCAAATTTATTGATCGAAAAATAGCTAGTGCTCTATTATATCCGACAAAGCATGGGTTAAGTGGGTTAGTTTTTGGGATTATACTGTTTTGATTTCTTGCTTTTTGTTGTTTATATCAAAAGGTTGAAGAATACATGGAAAGTTTCAACTTTGATGTAGCTGAAAGGTTTTGCACTCGTGCTCTAGAAATGTCTCCAGACAATCTACAGGCATTAAATATGGCTGCTTCAATATATTTGGAAATCGGAAAGATTGATGAAGCAGTTAGTGTATCCTTTTTGCAATATTTTGTGAATATAATGCTATTTTCAGTTGATAGGTGAATGTTGACAGTTATAATTAGTAAGGTGAACTTGAAAGCTCGCTTGAAAGATGTAATTATATCGCGTCACTTGGATTATCAATCTACTCCAATATTCATGAGTTATAATTATAGTATGAAAAAAAGGGCCGAAATATTGTCCACGCAGGCGTTTGTTTTATGGCTTGACATTGAACAACTTGGAAACGTTGTAGAAACATCTAAATATCATGTGTTTGTTATATTTAGGAGCATGCAGTTTAGATATTCACCGCTTATAAAGACAATTATAAGCTGAAGACATTGCGTCATGCATGAATTTGTTCGACGGCGGAGATGGTGTTCGTCTACTATCATTGAACAAGAGAAGCAATTATTCTACAAAACATGTTTCTGATGATGTTTCCTGGTTTGCTCACATGGCTATACGAATTAGAAGTGCCTTGAAAAGTCATATATTAATGAGCTTAATATAAGCTGTCAAGAAACAGGTTTTTTTCTTAATTACTATAAAATAACCAGTGTTTAAGACACGCTATAGAGATTGAACCATGCAAAGGTTTCAGTAAATACATGACGTTAGGTGAGCTTTTAGAAGGAGAAGAAGCAGTTGAGTGTTTGAAAAAAGGAATTGAGATAATGATTACTGAGAAAGAAACAAATGAAAAGGTATATATTGTGTCGTATACTATATTTATTTCATGCAGTAGTTCTTATCTTGTAATTGAGACTACAGTATTTAACGAAACTAATATACAATAATAATAAATAAAAAAATCGTAGCATTCCCAATTAAATTTGCGTTGCATTTTTCATTAAAACCGCTACATGCCATTACTATACTATAGCAGTACAATAATTGCATAAAAACACTGCATGGTTTCATGCAATTTATTATTTATACTGTATGATAAAAATCGGGTACAAAATTACAGTGAAGTTTGTCAAATTTTAGGAGAACGTTTCTGATAGTGCAGGTGCTGTAAATACTGAACATGAAGAAATTACTGATCGAGACATTTCAAATGCATTTTGTTCACTGGCGGAAATATATCTAACTGATTGCTGGTATGGTACCTGCATGCAGCTTCATTTTTTTGTATTAATAATAATGTTTAATTTTCTGTAATTAACTTGGCAATTAAATTAAGTGGTATGTGTGACCATTTAAAGTTTGCCATTTGTGTATATTTCAAGTTTTGTAGAGGATGCTGAGAATTCTTGCAAATTATATTGTGAAAAAGCGATAGAGAAGGATGCAGACAATCCTGATGCTTATCAAGTCATGGCGAACTTTCTGTTGAGTGAACAGAAGAACGAGGTTTGTTTGTCTTCTCGTGATACTTCGTTGATACACTACTGTATATAATACTTGTCTTGAAAATACGACACTGTACATTATCATCCTCGCATAATAACAACAGCAAACTAAATGTTTGATGATACACTGGCTAATAATAACAATTAATTAACCTACTATGCATAGCTAATTTACTAACCAGCCAATTCTAATTTGTACCTGACAAATGTATAAAGTAGTTAATTGGCTATACTTATTGTACTAGCAAACTAACAAATTGCAATCTGTATATGCCATGAGGAAAAGTAATAAAAATTATTATTAATTGGTAGATAGCCTGATGTTATTTGACTGACAAACTAATAATATCAACCAGCTATATATTACTGGTTAACTAACCATCTTTGACTAACTATAACTCAACTTTAACGGTAGTACTGATGATATCTATACAGTATAAAGATATATGGTTTGATTTTAGGAAGCTAAAGAAATCTTGTTAAAAGGTTTAAATCTCTGGCATGGCTGTGACGACCCACACATAAAGGTTGGACATGTTGTAGATATGTATCAGTTATATAAATCCAATTTAATGGTATATAGGGATGGTAAGTAGCTAATAAAGGCCGGTTCTAGGACAAAACGGTTTGCGCATGCGCGGGTTAAATTGATGACGTCACTTCCGGTTGAATCGATGACGTCACTTCCGGTTCCCCAATTTCCCGCGCCGTCCTGGGGGTCCTCTGCCTGCCGGACACCTCCCCCGTGCTCGCGCATCCGTGGTCGCGAACACGCAGGTACGCAAGTTCGTACACACGTGCTCTGACAGTTTGACAGTTTGCCAAATACTCGTGGGTGTTGATCCGATGTTCCGAGGGCCCCGCACGCCCTCACACCCACGTGCCCGTACGCCCCGCATGCCCACATGCCGGCATGCCCGCACGCCCGCGCGTGCTCACACGCACGCTTGTCGGAGTCTTGCTGAACAGAATCAACATTTATAGATTTATCAGGTTAAAAATAAAAGTAATGTCTTTGCCTAAATGGATTAGGGATAAGAAAGCAGTTACTAATATGGAGTGCGAAGATGGGGATAGTTTTAAGTATACAATCACACGTTCTCTGCATCCGGTGGAGAAAAAGGTAAGTACCGTTAGCGGAACCCTGATAGAATAGTCGGAGAATCTGGACTGGTCGTCACCGATTGTTCCGGAATTTGAGAAAAATAACGGAATAGGGATTAATTTGATCGGATTGTCTGGCGACAGGATTGTTGCATTAAAGGTGGCAGGATGGACGTATCCGAAGGTTGTTACGTTATTTTTTTACGGATCTAGGTATTATGTTGTTAGAAATATAAGTCGTTTATGGTCGTGTCAAATTAACAGGAGTAGGAGGTCGAGGATATTTTGTGATCGGTGTTTGCTTTCCTTCGGAGGTAAGGTAGGGTTTGATAAGCACATTCTCATCTGTCGCACCAGTATAAATAAAGGTATGTATTCTTCTGAAGTGTCTTACGATAGATGCCGGGAAAGTACGGATTTTCCTTTTGAAGTGTCTCTTAAGAAATATGAGGAGAATATGGATTTGTATTTAAATACTGTAAAAAGGTCCAATTACAAGGACATGAGCGTCATTTATGTGGCGTATTTAGACTCTATCGGTTGGAACTTTGATGGACCGGCTCCAGATGGGGAATTGCTGAACGGTATGGATTCCCCGCTTTCAAAGACCCTTTCAGCATACCATAAAAGGTTGTGTCCACCCAGGGGACCGAGGAAGGAGAGGAAGAGGAGCAAGGACATGGAGCTTTTTGATATAGCGGAAAAGGAGTACTTGGATCTCCTTGCTTCGAAGGAACCTGTGGAATATCCCAACGAACACTTTTGTTCCGAGGGGCATAAGCATAATCTTATTGATATAGGCGGGAAAAGAACGTGTCGCGAATGCGGGTTAGAGGTTGGTCTAACCAGTTACGTTTCTGGATATGATTGTTGGGACACAGCAATTATGAGGAGTAAGCCAGCTACCGTCGAATCCAGGGTCTATGGTTTTATAAAAAGGAAGGGTGTGTCAGGGTACGAACTGTTTGGGAAAGTATCGCCTGGGGTTATAAATAAAATTGTTAATATTTGTAACAAAGAGGAACCTAGGGGAAAGAGACTACCTAATCTTAATATTATTAGTTATCAGGTATGTAAACGATTTGGTGTGGAGGCTGACTGGTCTTTACTTAAGATTCCTAAGGGGAAGGTCCCTCACGATCGGTGTAAGAAAATATTTGAGACATTAGGTTGGGATTATGTTGAATAAATTTTAATGTTTATTAAGTCATTAAAATTGAAGTAATAGTCTTAGTGTAACGATAATAAGGAGTACCTCAACCGTTATCGGAATTACTAGGCAGCTGATCAGACACAACCACACTAGTTTCCGTGGTATTCTCATCATTTTGTTTATCGTATTTCTTTACGGTTGTGCTGGCATAACCGATTTGGGTATGTGCGCTCATCGTGATGTCACCCCGTTCGATGCCAATGCCAAGGTTGAACATCTTCCTTCTTTTATGATCTTTGTTGTACTTTATTATGTTTGCGGTTCCGGGTTTTGAGGACAGGCATCCCATTTTATTTCTTACCTTTGTTTTTGACAGGTTTGGGTTTGGGTTTAGGTTCCGGCTTGGGTTCCGGACAACATTTACCCTTCTTCATGTATTTGTAGTTCTTTACGCTGGAACTGTTAAATTCGACCCTTGCATCTGCACCGAAGGTTAGGCTTCCCTTACCCACCTTAACACCAACGTTTGCTTCCTTATTTTTCTTTTGCTCTTTGACGATTTTTTCCTTTTTATCTCCGCTACTCATTTTTATTTAACCGGAAAATAAAAAATGCCATTCAACATGATTATCGTAGGTATGACGGCCTGTGGGAAGACGCATTACCTCATCCAGGAATTAAGGACGACGTTCTTCCATCAGTTTGAAAATATATTTCTGATTTGTCCTACCTATCACTGGAATAAGACCTATGATCAGGATTTCATTCATGAGGACGACAATTTCTTTGTTATCCCCTGCCGGCAGGATGACGTGGAGGACTACCTTAAATTTGTAGTGGACTTCACCAAGGGAAGGGAATCTCTCGTCATTCTGGACGACTGTGCCAGCACTAAGTCCGTGAAGGATCGGACGGGAGAGTTGGTTGACCTTGGCTTTAGTGCAGGTCACATGAGTATTTCAACCATTGTTATTACCCAACAGCTGACCTCCATTGCCAAGCCGTACAGACAGAATATTTCGAAACTGGTGACGTTCTGTAATCCGAATAGGCAGGACATGAAGATTATTCTGGATGAATACCTTCTTGTTGACAATGTGGAAATGAGATCTATTAGGGAAAAGTTGAAGGAGAATAAGTATGCTCATCTAGAAGTGAGCCTTGTACATCCATTCAACCACGAAGTAAAAGTTCCTGTATTATAATAAAGAGAATGGAACAAGAACTACCAAACGCAGAGAATACGGAGATAGTGGACAGTAGGGCAGAGCTTATTCGCCTGTCCAATGCGGGAGAGATTAAGCAGTCCGAGAGTTACCTGAAGAAGGCATCCGGGAAGGTTATCATGAAAGTACGGAGGGAATACATTACCGCACAGAGGGAAAAGGCAAATGTGGTGCTGGCAGAGGCTTTGATTGAAAAATTTTCGGATCTCATGGAAGCTATCAGTATGGTGGATAGTGGGAATGAATTGAGGGAGGAATTAAATCAGGATAAACTGTTTAAGAGTGATGTTAAAAGTGTAGTGGCAAAGCTGTCCCCATACATACCCTACCTGGGTATTGTTAGCGGTGGAGTAACGACGGTAAAGCATGTCTATCGTAGGACCCCCGAACAACCACCTGAGGAAGGAGCGGAGGCCGACGATCAGGCATAAATATTTTCAGACCCTGTTGGGTATGAAAAAACTATAGTTTCTAAATAATTTAATATCTTATTCCAGCAAGTTGTCCATTTGTGATCTTGATAACACCGTCGGAAAGGACGAACAGGTAACATATAACGTTTGCAGTTGTGGCTTTCTTTGTGATCTCCACCAGTATTCCGGATTGAGTGTTTTGTATTTTAGCACCGTTTCCGTATGTGTTAGCATCGCTTGCGGTTCTTAGGTCGATGACTAGTGCGAATTTCTTGTCTTTGAAGAATCCGGTTAGTGTCTGATGACTGATTTCGTCGGTACCGAACAGTCCCCTTGCCTCCTCGTGCAGTCTTGTTTTTGGGATACCCTGACTATAGACTGCATTGGGAACACCTTCTACGGTTACCCTAACCTTTTCGATGTTGGGGTAGATGTATTCCTCGCTGTCTGTCTTTGTCTTGTTTGTAAATAGCATAACGATGGCTTTCATACTCCTGCGTGGTACGTTAATCGTTTCGTTGATGATGGTGGAATCTTTGCTCCATTCCGTCTTCTTCATCAGGGTAGCGTGTTCGAAGGATAACTCGCGTTCTGATCCATACAGTCCCTCGGCTTTCCTTGCGAGATCGATGTTATCGATGGACTCGTATTCCAGTTCGATGTTCTCCAGGGTGTATCCTTCCACAGATTCCCCACCTTGTGCGCTCATGATTTCGGTCGCTGCAGGTAGGGTGATTACATATTGTAAGTCGTTTGCCATGTTGTGTGGAGCATAAAGTCCGTGATCTTTGAGGATCTTGTTGATCCGGATTTTCTGTTTTGTTCCGAATACATCGAACAATGCGGTAGCCTCTGCGTCATCGTTTGTGGCGTCGTCCTTGGATATTTTCTTCCTCGTGGCTTCGCTGGCGATACCATCCTCAACCATATCGTCACGCTGCTTGTTGTGTATCCATAGGTCTTTGTAGACCTCCAGTAAGCTTTCTCCACTGTTGTCGTAGACCTTTTCTCCTGCGAGTCGGATTTCCAGTCTTTTCTGGAGAAATTTTCCCAGGTTCCTAAACCAGGATTTTGTATTACTGTTCTTAAAGTCGAAAACTAAAGCCATACTATCCGGTACGAGAACGGAGTCGGCTTTTAGCTTTGGGATGTTGACGTAGATTTCTTCTCCGGGTTTGGCAGAATTGGGATTGAAGGTTAGGACATGTCTGGTCCTATCCCCGGCAATTTCCGTCCTATTCATGCGTCGGAAGCTGGGCATAAGTTCAGTTGTTCGGTCCATTATGTTTTATTATAGTATAACTTTATTTCTTTCGTTTCATCTGTAGGTACTTGTATACGGCTCCGGCACTTGTATACTGCTACGATCCATAGGTTCTGGGCAAGGAAGGCGAGACCCTTAGCTCCCCAGCTTAGGATAGTACTCAGTAAATTTAGGATGGGTACTAGGATTGGTAGTGCGGATTTTGCAAGTCCAGCCAGTGCTTTTCCTACAGCTCCTGATCCTTTGGAGGCTCCTACGATGGTTTTCTTTCCGGCCACCACAACCGTAGTAATGATTCCTGCGATGGAAATGGCAATAGCGGCTATTGCACCTAGGTTTTCCTTTGCCCATTTTCGGAATCTTTCGAATTTTGTTCGGATGTTGTCCCTTACTATTTCCCTATACTTGTGTTTTCCCTCCTCCGTTTCGGGTTGCTGACCCATCTCTAGTCTAGCGTCATCGATGCCTGTTCGGCAACGTCCCTACCCTCCTGCATAACCTGCCGTCTTTCGGGATCTGTTTCGAGTTCTATGTTGGTTTCGAATACTTTCTTCTGTTCCCTTAAGGCTTTAATCCTGACTTCGGGTGGTCCTTTGGGAGCGGTTACTCCCGCAAATTCCCTTCTCTCCTGTATGGTTATTTTCCCCCTTTCCTCTAATTCCCTTGCATGTTCCACAAGGGTGTCGCCCGTGTCGGTAGCTTCCTGGTGGAATTCCTCCTCAGCGTCTTCGAAAATCTCTTCCACGTTTTCTCCTGATGCCTCTCCTCCGGTTTCCTCTTCAACTACACTTCTGGCTCTTTCCCTGTGTTCGGCGAGTGCTTTTTCGTATAAATTAATAAATCTTCTTAATGATGCACTATTTTTCTTACTATAAGACTTTTGGTAGTTACCACCCGTATCAATGTATGCGACATCAGCCCCATTGAATATTAACTTATTTTTAGTGATGTCTAAACTGGAGATAAGTTCCTTAGAGTTTCGTCCGTCGGTCGGATCTATTCGGTACTCAGTTTGAAAAAACCTTCTGACGTATTCTATCTTTATGTCATCAAATTTTCCAAATGTGCTCAGTTCATCTAACTGTCTCTTCCTTTTCCTGTAGGAATCATCCCTATTCTCCTCACGGAAACTGGAGGTTTTTGCATCGTCTAGCTCCCTCGTTTGTCCTCCCAATTTTTCCATCATTAGAAAGGATAGAACAAACTGTGGAGGAGGAGGTGTCGCGATCTTATGCAGGAATGATTGGAGAATGCAGCTACTACCTGATTTGGATAATCCATTCGAATGTTTATGGACAAAAATTATTACACAAAACTCTGAATTCTTTGTTGCAACTATTTACCACCCACCTAACTATGAGTATAATGAGCAAGACCTTATCGAATTCCTTATTGACTCGTGCGGACAACTATTGTTATCTAAACCGAATTCAAATATAATAATTGCTGGTGACATTAACAATTTAAACATTCGATCTGTTCTTAATCAACTTCCATTTACCCAACTCGTTAAGACCCCTACGAGAGGGTTAAAAATATTAGATGTCTTTATTACAAATGTCCCAAACTATTGGAAATCTGTTAAAGTTGTAAAAAGCTTGGTGAGATCCGACCATGATATGGTTATCACATACCCCCGAAACATAGTTAAAGCAACAAGGACAAATTCCTATTTCAGAGATGTGAGACAACATCATCAATTGAATATGCTTCGTGAATTTGAATCTATTGATTGGAACACGATAATTATGAATAGCCATAACCTAGATGAGATAACCCTAAAATTTTATGAAATAATATGGCCAAAATTCGATAAGAGCTTCCCACTAATTAAGGTCAGAACGTCATCACGCGACCCTCCGTTCATGTCTCCTCTTGTGAACCACCTTCTGAATCAAAGGAAAAGAGCCATACAAAACGGAAATACTGAAGCAAATACACGATTGCAAGAAAAAATCAACAAGTTAATTCGGGAAAATCAATTAAGTGCAGTCAAACAGGAGTTTGGCAACCAGAAAACTGGATCGAAAAGTTGGTGGTCTAACGTAAATAGCATTACATCGAGAAAAAAGAAACATGATGTATCTGTAAGTGCTTCTCTTAACCCTATTGAAATTAACAAATATTTTCAAAGTGTGAATACAGACCCAAATTATACGACTCCCGAGCCTCTACGAATCTCCGAAGGAACAAGAATTCGTTTGTTGTCAATTCATGAAGTTCAACATCTTTTACGCAATCAAAAACGCTCTTCATCGGGTCCGGACAATCTGCCATATTGGTTTTGGAAATCGTTTGCTATTGAATTAGCTCCTATTGTCACAGAAATTTTTAACAAGTCACTAAAAACCAGCAAAGTACCTCAGAAATGGAAATCCGCTAATTTATTACCACTCCCTAAAGAATCACCATTAAATTCGTGCAACCAGTTAAGACCAATCTCTCTGACGGACATCATCATGAGACTATTCGAGAAGTGCGTGTATAAATCTGAAATCGAACCTATCACAAGAAATAACATTGGTCCTGACCAATTTGCTTATAAAAAGGGTCACAACTCGACTATGGCTCTGATTAAATCCCAACATCAATGGCTAGAGTGGCTGGATAAAAACGCTAATTATGTTAGAGTGCTGTCGTTCGATTTCAGCAAAGCATTTGACAGTGTGCCCCACGATCTTTTGTTTGAAAAAGTTAAAAAGCTACCCATTAATCCGTATGTGGTGAACTGGTTAATTAGCTTTCTAGAAAATAGAATACAAAGAGTAATGGTTGATGGAATGGTTACAGAATATTTATATATTAATCGTGGTGTCCCTCAAGGTACTGTTTTAGGCCCAGTTCTTTTCTCAATAATGGTTGATGATATTAAAACTGCTGATCCTAGTAATGCGTTAGTCAAATTTGCTGACGATTTGACGTTAGGAGTGCCCGGCAACGAAAGTGGTGACACATCTCGATCTGAAGCTGCCTGTTTACAGGATTGGGCGGAAGAGAATAGAATGCCCTTAAACTTGGAAAAAACGTACGAAATGGTTGTTCGCAGACACACCTCTGTAGTTTTGCCCGAGCTTATCCCTTCAATTAAGCGAAAAACATGGCTAAAGCTTTTAGGAGTTACTCTACAAGATAACCCGTGCAACTGGGATTTGCACTTTGAAGAAATGCTCAAAAAAGCAAGTGGACGAATGTACATTATGAGAGTTTGCAAATACTATGGACTATCAATTAAACAATTTGATCTGCTGTTTGATAGCCTAATTATGTCGATATTCACTTTTGCTATTGAGCTGTGGGGTTGTGCATATGACGGTAAATATTTTAACCAAATAGATAAATTCATTAAACGTGCACATAAGAATGGTTATATATCAAAACGAACACACATTAAAGAAATACGTGATAAGAGAGATAAGAAACTGTGGAACAAAATAACATCAACTGAGGACAATGCATTGCTTGAACTGCTGCCGGAAAAAAGAAGTAGGTTACTTAGGCCTAGAGGGCATGAGTATGAACTCCCCCTAGTGAGAACAGAAAGATTCAAAAGGTCGTTCATAAATCGTTGTCTGTATAACTTTGTTTAGACTTTAATCTATTAAAAACTTTTTAAAACTTTTTACGCTTCTTAACTTACAATTGTAAATATAACTAGATCAATTACCTTTCGATTGTAAACTCAGACGGATGTATCTGAGTATTTTAATAAAGACTATTATTATTATTATTATTATTATTATTAGTCTTTGATCGTCGTCTAGTCCTGAAAGAAAGTCATCCTCATCGATAGGTGTATCATCAATAACTGTTTCATCCTCACCCCCTTCGGCTCCTTCCGGTCGGTTAAGGTTGTTCAACTCTATGTTATCCTCCATCTTTATTTAAGTCTAAAGATAACTCCTGTTCATAATACCTCCCCAAAATATCCTCCGGATCCTTAAGGCTGTACATATTGGGATCTCCCCGGAACACCGCTGTAACGACGTATACTTCGTTGTCAAAATTGGGTTCGTATCCCTTTTCGAAGGTCTTGTGCTTTATTTCCACCCTAACATGATCCCCAACCTTAAAGTTAGGATCCGGAAAACTGCTTCGTGGATATCCGTAGATTCGTGTCCAAACTTCGTCCTTGTTTTCCTCATTCACATCCGCCGGTTTCATTCCTATTGTCCTGTGTGTGGAATTATTATAGGATCTAACGAGGGCAGGCAGGATGTTCACCCAAACTTTCGTCCTGTTTTTCGTAAAGTATTTCCACATCCTTGTTTTTAGGGTCCTATTGAATCTCTCGACGAGTGCGGCTTTCCGGAAGGTCCTTGTGGAAAAGTAGTGAACATCGTGATCCTTTAGCAACGTCTTTACTCCTACATTGTAAAATTCCTTTCCGTCATCAAACTGAGCCGTTTTAGGATATCTACCAAACCTTTCCTTAAATTGTACAAGCACATTTTCGACAGCCATTGTCATGCTTTCGGTATTTTTTCTCCATACGGGAACGGCAAAAGCATACCGACTTAGAACCTCTATGACAGTTAGGATCCATCGGTTTCCCTTATTCCCGTGACTGAACTTACTCATATCCACAAGATCCATTTGAATTTGCTGTGCAAGTCCATCCACATAGGTCCTTTGGGTCTTGTAATGTTTTCTGGACGGTTTATGAATGATGTAGGTATTTTGTGTCTGTAACCATTCCCTAACATTTTTCCGGCTTACTCCCTCTATACCCTCCTCCTTTGCACTCTGGTATAATTTTTCCATCGACATGTACCCACCGTTAACGTTAAAATATATTTCCCGTAGAGCTACATCCAATTCCAAACTCATTTTATTATCTGTAAATAAAACATGAAGAAGATAACGGTCTATGTTGAAGACGGAGGGGTTACCCTGGATTTACAAAATCCACTAATCCTTACCCACGGATCCGAACTTTACGTAAAGACTGCTGCCGTGTTTTGGAATTATAAGAATATTCGCAAGGGGTTCAATGACTACATTTCGTAGATGGGAAGAAGGTAATGATAGACGAAGGATACTGGACCTTTAATCAGCTTAGGAAAGAGTTGGAGGAAAACGGGTTGACACTTAGGAAATATCCCGATGGAAGGATAAGGATCGACTTTGCTAAGGGAACAAATTCCGCAGGACTCCGGAATCTCACGAGTATTCTGGGTTACCGGTCCTCCAATGGCCCTACATACACACCACACATTAGCGATCGTCCCGTGGACATCCACGAAGGTTTGCGATACCTTACAGTCAGTTGTAACCTTGTGAATCGCGAGCATAACATCGGACCGTACGGAAATAGGAGTACCGTCATTACTTCCCTTCCCATCGATGGAACAAGACCTCTCTTTGGAACCACGACGAAATACAACGACATTGAAAGCCGAGTACGGGTGGATGCTGGCAAATACAGCGAAATCCGGTTTGAGATTGGATCTAATACCGGAATCATCCCCGGAGATGTATTGTTAGAACTTTACATCAAATAAAAGGATGAGTGAGGAAATCTTTCGGAACTACTACGGAAAGAATTACGAGAAGGTTAAGGCGGCAGCACCCGTCGAAATCCGGAAAATGAAGACAAACTTCACGAAACAATATCCCAATGCGACCCTATCCAAGTTCGACTTTAATGTTACCTTCGCCAAGGACGGAACTGTAGAGTCTAGAGACATTTTCTACAAAGTGGATGATCTCACAAGCTATGATCTCACATCTGACACATTCCGCACAAATCCGGAGTGGACCAAGTACCTGTACTGGGTAGAAGGGTGGCGTAGTGTTCGACCGGATGCAATCTTTCGTCCAAATAAGGATTTCAAGATGGATGTTCATACCTTTAAGGTCTACGTTACGGAAACCGAGAATTTCCTAACGAAACTGGAACCTATTAAATCATCGTACGATAAGCCTTCCGAAACCTTTATCAACACTGTACCCTTCGACTACCATTCCAATTCCTACTTCTGTTCCCTGGCTGCATGCTATGTTGCTATGTTTAAATCCGGAATTTCCGAGGATCACCTGACGAACAACTTTGTCAATTCACACTCCAACATAGTAACCTCTATCGTCCGCTTTCACCTTCATTTCCACCTCTCGAGGTTTATGCGTAATCCAAAACTACTGGACCAGTATCTTACAGGGGATGATATACGAACCATTAGGAAGTATACACCTGTACGTGAAACATGGGTTAGGAGGACCGTCTCTTCCCACGCAAACATAGGAACATGGTACTACGGGTTACCCGTAAGCGAACAGAGGAGGATACGACGTCAGAAGTACCGTCTGACTAAATATGGAGGTTCATTTATCGAATACGAATACCTGACTGGTAGATCACCCTTTGACGTTGAAAATGATTATAAAACCCTTATTCCCAGAACATCCCGGGGACTTACCAAAGTTGGACAGAAATTATTCCAGCAGTCTATCGAAGCATTTGTGTATTCCGTTCTGGGGGCACAGGCTAAAACCCGATGGAGTATCACGGGTCAGGGTGCAAAAAGTTTGCAGACACAAGAGGTTTTCCGTAAGGTGGTAAAAGATACAATTGTACAAGACGATGTGACAGTTGCCATCTCCGACATGAGGACGGCTATTGCTAACACCCATGTCGTCCTAAATTTTGCGAGCATGCCGGGTTTAATCCTAATCCCCTCCGACCTGAGAATCTTAGTGAAACCTATTCCAGGATTCAGCAATGTTCTGACGGTAGCTAAAAACGGGATGACGTTTGGGAAGAATGAGAAGGTGAATTATACGAGTAATCGTGTTCCTACCCCTACGAATAATATAGATGAAAGCCATGACATTACACTAGTTTCCGGCGTAGACGAAAGCCATGACATTACACCAACCCCAACCGTGGGGGACTTTAAACCCCCAGAACTAAGGCAGAAGTCTGATACCCAAAATATGGCTCTTGGGATGGCGGCAGTAGCATCCTTTGGACTTGCATACCTAGTATTTCGACGTTAAATAAAATGAGCATCCTACTCGGGTACGATTACTTTGATACAACAGCAGAGGACCTAGATATCTTAAAACGGAAATTAGCAGTAGTCGAAAAGGGACAGCAGGGAAACACGGCAGAGATTGTCAAACATACAAATGACGTTGTAAGACTGAATAGCCTCGGAGAAATTACCCTACCTCCCCGGATTTTATAAGTCCTTAGCCATTTCGGACGATGATAAGAAGAATGCAAAATTTATGGTCTTTAAGGTGGGTGGATTCGAGATAATGGGTGGATTCGCCGTCTCCACCATACGGATTCTACGAAGGAAGTATAGGAACGGTGGTTATGTTTACGGTCACTCAAAGAAGTGCTATCGTCCGCACATCCTTTTCGTTCACAGTACAAGGTGCATATGTAAGTCTTAACGGTCTCGAATACAAAAACATAGATTCCGCCGGAAATGCAACTGTCAGAAATGAGGCTACAACCATAAGCTTCTTCCTCATGACAACATAAAGTTTTAAATCTTTTCGTAAGATTTAAAATATTCGTGTTAATCCGTAAGCACCGCCAACACCCAGTATACCCACTGTCAACACTGCGTATCTTTTCATCTCGTCCGATGGTTGATAGTAATCCTCCAACTTAGGTCTGCGTTGGGATGCCGTATTATCCATAAGCCTCGTATAATCCCTCAAGTCTTCCAGTGCCCTGTTTGTTTCCTCGATGTCCTTGTTAGCATCCAGGATCTCGTCCCTCCGTCTTGCCTCGTCGTTCCTGCGCTTCACTTCGGATTCGTAAAACTTCTCCTTGGCTTTCGCAAGCTTCTCTAAGGCTTGGTTATGTCTTTTTACCTCTTCCTTGTAGCCTTGTCCATTCAGCTTGGAGAATAGAAAGCCGGCCCCGGCAAAGGCCACGGCATTAAAGAGTCCTCCCACCACAACAGATGTCATTCTTTATTTGTCGATCATTTTTGGGATGTATCCCTTATCCTTAAGATATCCTATGGTGAATGCACTTCCGGCTACGGCAACGGCAAGCTTAGCCGCTCCTTCTAGGGTCATCGGTGCACCCAGGCTTTTCCGGCAACCGTTTTGGCAAGGTAGGATACCCCAACGACTCCGGTTGTCAGTAGTACCACATCGTACAGTTCGTTTATCACTTCCTTCTTCGTTTCGGCCATTATGTTTTATTATAGTAGAACTATTTTAGTCAAACAAGTCAGGAACCTTTGGTGTGATAACAACAGGTTCCGACTTCTCTACAATCTTATCTTCCTCGGGCTTCTCGTCCTTTTCCTGACGACTACACCACATAACATAGAGGGATCCGAGTCCTACGGCGATACCTACTACCAGACCTACCATATCTAGGGTGACTATTGACCCATCGCCTCTGTCCTCTGTGTTCGTAATGCTTTGCTCCTCTTCCTTGATAGTTTCGAGCTGTGCTTTCTTCCTTGCTTTCGCTTCCTTACTTATCTTAGCAAGCCTACGTCCTGCCTCCACCCTTCTGGGATCCTTGACGTGGGTCTTTACCGGATTTGTGACGGGTACTGCTGTCGTATCTGGGTTTACTTCCGACATGGTTCCTTTTTATTTATAGTAGGATTTAACTAACTTGTAAGTAACCTTAGATCTAGTCAAAAGTATCTTACGACTACTCCCAAGTAATCTCATGAGTAGATTTGAGTAATCTCATGAGTAGATTTGAGTAATCTCATGAGTAGATCTCAGTTAACTTGTGAGTAATCTTAAATCTAGTCAGAAGTACCTCAAATTCAAGATCAACAGTCTATAGGAAAGGCTCCAACTAAGGGTAGACAGATGGGTACCTGAGTCCTTTGAATATTAAAATCAGTTTGCTGTGATTCCTACCCACTGATCTAATAGTAGACTGGATATAGCTTCTCTAGGTGTGAAAAGTGAAGCCAAATTATATATGCGAAAATCACTTCCGGGGACCACGGAGTGATACAAATTACTATAGAAATGTATGGCGAACAACGTGAACCAAGGTGAATTTTCCCGAATTTGAGATACTTTGCGAAGTTTCACCAAGCTGATCGCTCCACCGTGGGTAAAAGATGTTATGTTAATGCTTTTAAAACGAAAATTATCCAGATTGCCCTAAAATATCGTCAGTTTTGTTCGTTCAAAGTTGTCCATGCGGGAATAATATTTTATCGCCACAGTGGTATGACAGCACAATTTCTAGTTTGCTTTACAATTACGGAGAGAGAATATGATCTACTATACTCAAGCATACTTTTAAAGGAAAGTTTGTAGTTCATTTTATAATTTATGTTTAACCTTGATCGACCAGAGGGTTTCAAATTTTCAATTATCCATCTTACTATACAGCCTTTTTACAAAATATATAGACATGTCTTAGTTGGTACTATAAAATATATAATTTGTACTTTTTTATTTGTTATTCTGTTAAACTGGAAGGCAACCTTAATGAAGCTTTCTGTAGAGTGAATCTACTTTAATAGTGAAGTTGAATTTTGAATTAGAACAACAAAATTGATTTAAAATGTGGGGTGTATTTATCATTCAATATCTAATTGAGTATAAATATAAGAACAAATATAAAATATATTCAAAGTTAATTTGAAATAATAATCTGCTTAATTAAACCTCAACCACTGATGGACTCAACTCATTGATACCAAAGTAAATTGTCAGGCAACTATAGGCAGTGTGATATTCTGACAATAGAAGATAAAATATACATGCTTTTTTAGGTTGCCTTGGCCAATTATTGATGAAATTATCTCTAATTTAAGTTTCTAATTGCCTATACTTCAAAAGCATGGTTTCCATAACCAGTTGTGCTGTTTCCACAATGTCAAGAAACCCCAGGTGACAAAACACAACATTTGAACCAAGGCATGAGAAAGTCTGGCAGCATGCTGCCAGGAAATTTTTTTAATATCACAGGAAATTTTTAAGGAAAAGCAAGATATCAAGAATGAAGCTCGAGAAATTTCAAAAATCAGCACAACCTCGTACCCAGGGCTTCTGCGGCGTGTGCTTATTGCTCTCTGAGAGCAATAAGCACAAAAGCCCTGGGTACTTAAAGTAACAAACATCACAATTAGAGCATAAATACAACAATCATAACATAAAAATTTGTATCATGTGGCAGTGCTATATATACAACTGCCTGTTATCATGATTCATGATTATGATATACATGTGAAAAACAAGGGCGTACTACTATTATTGAATAGTGCATGAGTACTGATATAAATTCAGATTTACAATCTGAAAACAAAATTCAAATATTGTTTCATAGAATTCCATCATGTCCCTAATTCTAGTAAACCTATATTTTTCTTAATATTGAGGTAGTATATGACTAATTAGTAAGGTAGTTTAGTATTTTTGCACAAGTGAACATAACAAATACTACATGTTGATTGGTCATATCTTCCTAGATCGGTGAATACTCCCCAACTAATCACCTCGCCTTCAGTGAATAATTGTTAAATACACGACACTGTTATTGAATTACAAAATTCAAATTTATAAAAAAAATTGGCAGGAAATTTTTGGTCTGGGAAGCCTGCTGCCAGGAAGAAAAATATTTTATCAAGGGTTAATTTGAACTGCAACCAGTGTTTCTTTTTTGAATACCCCTGGGCTTGGGGTGTGTATAAACCCACAGGCACATGTATAGGGTGTCACAAAAAATGTCCCCTCTGTTGTTAAGTACTATAAAGCCTGGTTTCCATATGGTAAAAAGATCGAGTCATAATCTTTCTCATCAGCCGAAATACAACATTTTAGAACTGAAAATATGCAGAGTGATTATAACTAGTGAATACTTATGATTTATATGTGGTTTACAGGTATAAACTATTATATACTGACCCAGTGCTTCCATTTTCAAAATAAAAATTTCCCATTTTTGACATCAAAATTTCTCTAAATTCCTTAGAGTGTATACATAATTTCCTTGAAATTTCCTTGAAGTTTCATTAAGCAGTTTGCAGTGATTTTGGACCAATACAAACTGATATAATTAATTTTAAAGGCACAAAGTAGCACAATTAACACATATGTGGGCTAGGTAAAAAACACAGGCTGTTATACTGTTTAAAATTAAATATTTGTTATGATTTTACAACATATACGCAGGCCCGGAGCTGCGGGGGGTTGTGGGGAGGGGGGTGTAACACCCCCAGAAATTGTCGGTAGAACTGCCATTTGGGTTAAATATTTTCGCGCAAAGGGCAAGATAGGGGTCAAAATTTTAGAAACATCTTTTTGAAAAAATGGAGAAAATTTGTGATGTCTGGAAAATTTGTTTGATGTTCCGAAAAATTTTGGTATGTCCGGAAAAACTTTTGGACCCCTAAAATGGTACACTGACCGAAATTTTTTTGGCGATGGGGGGGAGGTCGCCAAAAATAATTTGTTCCAGAAAAATTTTTTTCGGCACCAGTCGGTTGACATGACCTTACACCCCCCCCTGAAGAATTCCCTGAGGACGGCCCTGCATATACGATATCACTGTTATAATTAACTAACTAGTCACAGTGTTTGGCGCCAAAGGTTACTAAATCCCATCGCTCAAAAACTTTCGGAAGTTTTCGGAAACACGAAGAAAAACTTATAAACAGATTTTTAATTAACATAATTGATAAATAATGATAATTCACTCAAAAATGTAAAAATAGTGAAACCTTCTTCTGCACCAATGCACTGGGATGAATATTTAAGTTTTTCGGAAAAAATCCTTAGATTTCCTTAGATTTTTTCTCTTCCTTAGATTTTCCTTTTGGACCATAGAATTTCCTTAGAAAAGGAAATTTCCTTGAAAATGGAAGCACTGTACTGACCTTTGAGAAAATTGCAACTATTTTTATGACCTTTTAATATGACCATATGGAAACCAGGTTTTACTCACAGTAATTAGCCAACAACAGAGGGGACATTTTTGGGACACCCTGTATATGCTGGGAGTTTAGTGGAAAAGCACCAATGGATATTTTACACTAACAAACGTTTTATATATATAAATTATCAAAATTAATGAACAATACACTCTGCCTCTCAGCTATGGATTGTATTATCCATGATTACACTGACTATGCAACTGAAAGTTCAAAATTCAACTGCAATATAAAAGTAGATTCACTCTTACTACAGAAAGCTTCATTAAGATTGTCTTCCAGTTTAACAGAATAACAAAAAAAAACAAGTACTAAAAGTACAAATATATTTATTACATATCTTTAGAACTATTACAGTAAAGACATGTAATGATTAGTATTGATTAGTGTGTATATATATTTTGTAAAAAGGCTTATTAAGATGGATAATTTGAAAGCTTGAAACCTTCTGGTCGATCAAGGTTAAACATAAATGATAAATGAACTACTTACTTCCCTTTAAAAGTTTGCTTGATCATATTCTGTCTCCGTAATTGGAAAGCAAACTAGAAATTGTGTTGTCATACCACTGTGGCGATAAAATATAATTCCCGCATGGACAACTTTGAACGAATAAAACTGACGATATTTTAGGGCAATCTGGATAATTTTCGTTTTAAAAGCATTAACATAATATCTTTTACCCACGGTGGAGCGATGAGCTTGGTAAAACTTCGCAAAGTATCTCAAATTCGGGAAAATTCACCTTGGTTCACGTTGTTCGCCTACATTTCTATAGTAATTTGTATCACTCCGTGGTCCCCGCAAGTGATTTTCGCATATATAATTTGGCTTCACTTTTCACACCTAGAGAAGCTATATCCAGTCTACTATTAGATCAGTGCTACCACCATTGGAAAAAGCTCTGAACCAGTGAAATTTACCATTTTCGTTTGCCGTTACCCACCAGTTATGACTTGATAAATAAATAAATATTAACATACCAATTAATTGAAATACAACGTTTGGGATATCTTTGAAAACGCAGTGTGTTATCCTTACTTGCGTTCAACCAATCTTGACATTGATTTTGGAATCTTGTTTCTACTTCCACGAAGCTCAACGTCCATGTCAAAAATAACATGAAATACGTTTTGTTGACTAACGATATCGTCCCACCTTGGAATGGCAAGTGAACCTTCCAGATCCTGAGTCTCACATCCTCCATCACCAGCTTGGAGATTCATTTCTGTTGCTAAGATTGGTCCCTTGTAATGAAAGTAAAAGCAGTTGGGAGCCTGATTGTTGCACTAATGAACGTCTTGCGATGTTAGCCGAATAATTTCAATGACAATTGTTTTAATTGTTTTAATTGTTAATTGTTTCGCGAGCACGTTGCGCTACGAATGGTAATTGAAAAAGTAACAAGGAATTTTTTTTTCTATGAAAATGAATGCAATCCCAGCCGATCACATATTCACAACTCAAGTGTCGTTAACTGGGGTGGCTAAAATTAACACAGCAATGCTTATTATCTACACGAGGAATGTCGTTTCCCGTAACCACGCCCAAAAAAGTGGTGATAATCTTTTGAGAAAATAGCTACAAACACCCCTAAATTGAATTAATTTTTTGGTTTGGTATAAAATAGGTAATTGGACAAGTACTGGTGCAAGACATTGTGTAGCCTAAATAATGAGAGGACCAGTATTCCAAAAACGGTTATTCTTAATTTCTTGACTCCGACTCCTGTGATGAACATGTACGTAAAAACTAGGGAAATTAAACGATTATGTAGAAACTAAAATAGGTGGAAATTTTTATGGGACACGATAGAAGGCGAGGATAAGGAGCAAAAAATTAAAGTTGAGGAGGAAGGCAACCCTGTACGTGTTTCGACCTAACAGTCTTCTTCAGCAGGGTTTTTTTAAAGGGGGGTGTAGGTAGAATTTGCAGAGGAGAATGAATGAGAGTTAAGGAGTTCGAATAATTAAGTGAGACCGAGAGAAACAAATTATTGCGACGTTATTGAAAAGAACCAATTACACAGTAACAAAAATGAATCTTGGCCAGATCGAGAATATACAGGAAGGAGCGAGTTGGCGACTTATGATTATCCCCCAATGAAGGCACTACACTGACGTTTCTAAACAATGATTCATGAATGTAATTTTTTCAGGAATTGCGTTTATTAGCTTGATCTACAGTATAGCGAATACATGTTTAACATATTCACCTGGTTGTCCTGAACTCGTACACTTTAAATTTCAAGACGGTTATGGTACGTAAGAGCATGCGAGATTTCATGCACTCATTTTACTCTATATTTTTGGTTGCTTCATACCTCTTCCATGTAAGCTTCTATTGCAGCTTTCAAACTCGTTCTACGTTGCTTTAATTTAATTTCCAGCTCATCTCTGCTTGCAAAGTCGCAGTAAGTTTTATTTATTCCACCAGTAACTGTCCTGTTGTAGTAATATTTTCCTGTGCTCTCTTCCTTTACGAGATTTTGGGAATTTGCCTCACATCCCCAGTTGATAGCTTCATCAGGAAACAAATCAGCCGCGCGGAAGTCAACCAGGTCCGTGATTGATCCCATTAGAAATTTAAATGCTTTAGGGTAGTTGTCAATACTATCAAGCCATTCCTGAAATAATATCATAAAACAAGATGAAGGCAGCTCTTTTCCACTAGCAACTGTTCTGATAAAGCTGATCGAATAACGCACGTTATATATATATACCTATCACTGTAATAACAACTGTTAGCAGGCCCGTAACAAGAATTTTAGCTGAGTACTGACGCGAGCGTCGACGGCGCGAGAAACCTCTTAGGGGGTCAGGCATGATCCTTCCCCAGCAATTTTTTTATTTCTTAAGGCGCAGAAACACTATTTAATTTTCGCATTCTTGGAACATCAGGAAACTGAAAGGTCACCGTGCATAAATATATTTAAATAATAATAATAATAATAATAATAATAATAAAAATAATAATAATAATAATAATAATAATAATAATAATAATAATGGAAACTTTATTTTGACATTTTATGTATATACAATTATAAATCTCACTAATTAAGGTAACTTATAATTGACTACTTGAACTATTAATTATTGATAAAACTATATTACAGGTATAAAACTAAGAGAAAGCTCGTTCTTAAATGTTCATCAAGTCCGGATCGGTCCGATCCTTGTTTCTACAACAAAATATATAGTACGTTGTTCTGATGGCGATGGACATTATTAATAATAATAATAATAATAATAATAATAATAATAATAATAATAATAATAATAATAATAATAATAATAATGGAAACTTTATTAAATGTTTTTCTTTACATACATATACAATCGTAAATCTCTCTCATAAAGGTAACTTACGGTTGGCTATTTGAATCACAATTATACTAAACTAATAATAATAATAATAATAATAATAATGATCAGGTTCACAATAATAAAGCCTTTGTGGTAATTTCTAGGACGCTAACGAATACTTCGCAAATTGAATAAATTCCATCAGTATCTGATTTTTTTCTTTCTTTCTTTGAACTTGGAGTCTCTTTTCACGAAAATTCGTACCAAATCAACTGTCTTGGTTGACTCATAGCTATAGTTACGGATGAAACAAGGGTAATCACGAATTAAATACATCAGTACGTGAAAGTTTAGGTGGTAACAGCAACGACGACAAAGTATTGACCGATAAGGTTTATCTTACATATATAAAATATTTTAAGCTAATTAACATTTTGATTATTGTACCAATTATTGTATAAAGAAATAGCTTCTGGAAATTGCTTTCTTGTTGACCAGATATGATATTGAATTCACAATTACTATACATAAATAAATAAATATAGAGAATAAACAACTTACGACAAGTGTACTTTTAAACGTTGGTGCGTATAGGTCTGTCACTGCTGCAGCGATTCTTTGACTTCCCCCTAGTGCTTGAACTGAAGTTGACATAAATTTCTGTTCTGATTTATTCTGTGTTCCACTTTTTGTGCTGCTATACGCACCAGCACTGGCAAAAAGACCTTTGTATTCCATCTCAGCTTCCACTGCAAATTCCTCTTTAGATGACGTTGATATACCATTTTGGAGCTTTCGTATTTCCAACTGGCCACCAAATTTGGCGGATTTGATATAATGAGTTCCCCATCGAGATATGAAGTCATCTAAATGATAAGCATTTAAATCTTTTAATAAGAATGACTGTGTTAATTTATCTTCATATGATCATCGCAAGAAAATGAATTTTGAAAATGTTCTAGAAACTATGGATTCACACATTTGACAAGCTCGCCAGGACACACCCAAACCAATGGCAAAGTATAAAGTGCTGTAAAATTGGCAAAGCATCTCATGTTCAAGGCTGTATATATGGTTCTTCTTCCTACGTTTGTACCACACAATTTGTACTGAACTCTATTCAGGGTGTATAAAAAAAACTGAACAGATTTGAAATTGCTCTCAATTTTGCAAAACAGCTCTTAGTATCCGGTTTTCGATATATATAGTTTCTTTGGGTACTTATAATGTAGAATAATGAAAAAAATTTCTCGAACTCAAATGTTGTAAACCAGGGGTGTGTGTTTTTTCCAACAAATTAAAAATGGTTTGCGCACGAAATTTAAAAGCTTTAATCGTATTTTGAGTTAATGAATGGAAACTTTGTTGGGTTTTTAATTACTGTACAAAATTTCAAACAATTTGCTTTAGTTTAAGCCCTTTAACTATTCACGCAAACTTAAATTTTTCCCTACTGAAAAATCAGCCTTTTGCATGCTTAATTGATGCGTTTGCCTAATTTGCTCATGTCAGCAATATGCAAATTAGGTAAAGGTAAATTAAGCATGCGAAAGCTTATTTTTTAGGGAAAAATGCGGAATAGTTAGTAAAGCAAATTATCTGCAATTTTGTACAGTAATTAAAAACCCAACAAATTTCCATCCATTAACTCAAATACGATTTTAAAGCTTTTAAATTTCGTGCGTAAGCCATTTTTAGTTTGATGGAAAAAACACACACCCCTTGTTTACAAAATTTGAGTTCGAGAAATTGTTTTCATTATTCTACATTATAAGTACCCAAAGAAACTGGATACTAATAGCTGTTTTGTGAAATTGAGCGCAATTTCAAATCTGTTCAGTTTTTTTTTATACACCGTGTATAATGTCCGGATTACTTTATGAACTAATTTAAAAGGTTACCACCAACCTATATATATATATATATATATATATATATATATATATATATACCGGGTGGCGCAAAAAAAAGTATAACTGTTTGATTACATATAGCTCAAAGACCATAAGCAGTAGAACCCAAAATCGAGTTTCATTGCATCCAGCGATGTCTAACTTAAATTTTGGTATATTCGACAGGCATTTTCGTCCAAGATTGACTGAGATATGAGTGTTTAAACTTTTGTTAGCAAATTTGAAACGGTCACAAATTAGCTAAAAACGGCCTATTAAACTGATTTTTAGCTAATTTGTGACCGTTTCAAAATTGTTAACAAAAGTTTAAACTCTTATATCTCAGTTAATCTTGTACGAATATGCCTGTCAAATATACCAAAATTTAAGTTAGATATCGCTGGATGCAATTAAACTCGATTTATGGTTCTACTGCTTATTGTTTCTGAGTTACAATTAATCAAACAGTTGTACTTTTTTTTGCGCCACCCGGTATATATATATATATATATATATATATATATATATATATATATATATATATATATATATATATATATATATATATATATATATATATATATATATATATATATATATATATATATATATATACATATATACTGGTTTTGTAATTGGTTCTTGTATAACAACGAAACACCGGATGAGCCACAAACAGTAAGTGACCACTTTTCTTTCAGCAAGTGAATAACAAGATTTTTATGTCAGCCGCCAGCCGGGTTGGAATTTACCTAATTGGCCCTGAAGTGGGAAGTGAAGATGTGACGTCACTTGTATGAGGACGATTTGAACGTCTGAGACGACTTAGCCGTCTAATATAAATCAGAAAATTACACACATGCATGAAATAACTAAAATTGACGTCGTCTGTTTAAGCGCGTCCTAGAGCAGTGTAAATTGTTTGCATGCGAATTTTTTCGGTAAAACGTCGCAAACATAAAATGTGTTTTCACTCACTAAATTTAGCTGGAGCGCCTGGTTGGAAGTAGGATTCTGGTAAACTCATGAACTCATGCAGGAATGCACGCGAGAGATCTTGCGGCTTGAGTTCATCTTTAAATATTTCATACCTTAAACATAGTAAACAAATTACTAATATTATTAGTAACACTTCTTTATCAGATCTGTCTTCGTTTCAAGATATTTTGTTTTTTTGCTATATTTGTTAACTGATGAACTAAGTCTACAATCAGGGACGCCGGAACGATCATAAGGCAAAGGGGGGCGGACCCACAGCAAGGGCACTTCTCTAAAGCAAAACTTCAAAATCTTCCGAAATTTTTTTTTTAATCAAAAAATTTCGGCGACCTCCCCCCCCCCACCCCCCCTCCCCGTCGCCAAAAAAATTTCGGTCAGTGTACCATTTTAGGGGTCAAAAATTTTTTCCGGACATACCACAAGTGAAATATAAACTGTATTTGTCTGAATCTCATAATTTTCGTACAAAAACCATCGTTCTAAATGTGATTTATCACGTATTTTTTTATAACTAAAAGGGCACTTCTGCCCCCCCCCCTGCCCCCTCTAGCAAAAGGCAAGGGGGGCAGCCGCCCCCCAGTTCCGGCGTCCCTGTCTACAATGTCATGGAAAAGGTGTTATTTTTCAAAAGCTATCAACAAAATCCCGTCCTGGTATTTATAGATGAAAAAATACGAGTTGTGTGCGTCACAATGTATTAAACAGCTTAATTTAAAAATTATTCTAACTCGATCAACGATATTTGGTCATTGATTTGATGGCCTTCAAAATATGGACTTCAGTATGCGAACTATCTCACTTATGGATAATGACGAGTACCACAAAGGCGTCTAAGATAGGTCGGAATTGTGGCCTGGAATAAGTGATTAATTAATTGAGAATTCACCTGTCTACATCAATATCAAAAACAGCAAGATTGGTTTGTTGATTTGAGCTAAACGACATTCCATAAGCAGATTTGACTCCAGCATAGAAACCGAAATATGATCCTGAAACTCCGGCCTCTGTTTGAAGATAGCCTTGGTATTCTCGTCGAGAGGAAAAAATCTGCATAGTCGAACTTGTCTCGTATATTCCATGAACGTTCATTGTGTCAGGCACTTGAAAATTGTCGTAGCTAGATAATTTATAGAGGACGAACATATATTACACCCGTTTTCAAAATTACGCGACCTCCCTGAAAAATACTCCTGCTTCAAATGTCAGTTTTATGTCACAAGAACTGCTAAAAATAGCAAACGTAAACAAACTGTCTAAAGATATTTTAAACCGTATTTAATACCAAAACTGAACAAAAATGAGTCAGATAACTTAGATATACAAACTAAAGCACAATACAAACCATCACAACATAAATATGTGCCGTGAATGACTTTTAAAGTTTGAAAAATAACAATTTATCCTGGAATGGGCTATTCCATTTAATATCGGTACCCCCCCTGTCGAGGATACATATTTTTTATTGTCATACCCCTGAAGAATTCCAAGCTCAAAACTGTTTACCCCTGAAGAATTCCAAAATTCCAAGCTCAAAACTCTTTACCCCTGAAGAATTCCAAGCTCAAAACCTTTTACCCCTGAAGAATTCCAAAATTCCAAGCTCAAAACCCTTTACCCCTGAAGAATTCCAAGCTCAAAACCTTTTACCCCTGAAGAATTCCAAGCTCAAAACCCTTCGGCCTTCACCCCTAAAGAATTCCAAGCTCAAAACCCTTTACCCCTGAAGAATTTCAAGCTCAAAACCTTTTACCCCTGAAGAATTCCAAGCTCAAAACCCTTCACCCCTGAAGAATTCCAAGCTCTGAAAAATTTCAATCTCAAACCTCTTTACCCCTGAAGAATTCCAAGCTTAAAACCCTTCACCCCTGAAGAATTCCAAGCTCAAAACCATTTACCCCTGAAGAATTCCAAACTCAAAACACTTTACCCCTGAAGAATTCCAAGCTCAAAACACTTTACCCCTGAAGAATTCCAAGCTCAAAACCCTTTACCCCTGAAGAATTCCAGGGATCCTCGACAGGGGGGGTACGGATATTAAATGGAATAGCCCAATATAGCTGTCAGTATAAAACACGCGCGCTAGCCTATAACGGTGATGTTATGATTTTGTCGTGCTTAAATTTTACAATAATTCTCACTAAAATATCTTGAAAATCATTGTAAGTCTGTTTATATAAAGCATACAAAGCATATACATCGACAAGGAACCGCAAAACTCAAAATTTGAACTTCGTGATCGAATGACATAAAACTGACATGTCAATTTGACTCTAGCATTTTCGTCTTTGGTCGCGTAATTTTGAAACAGTGCTTCCATTTTCAAAATCAAAATTTCTCATTTTTGTCATCAAAATTTCTCTATATTCCTTAGATTGTATACGTTATTTCCTTCAAAATTCCTTGAAATTTCATTAGGCGGTTTACAGTGCTTTTGTAGCAATACAAAGGATTTAATCAATTTTAAATGCACAAAATAGCACAACTAACAAAGATGATTGCTAGCTAAATAACCACAGGCTATTATACTGTTTAAAATTAAATATTTGTCATGAGTTTACAACATACACCTTCCATTGATATAAAAAATTAATTATTCACAGCGTTTGGCGCCAAAAGTTACCAAATTCCATCGCTCAAAAACTTTCGGAAGTTTTCGGAAACACGAGGAAAAAGTTAAAAACAGATTTTTAATTAAACATAATTGATAATTCACTCAAAAATTCAAGAAATAGTGAAACTTTCTTCTGCACTAATGCCATTGGATGAATATTTAAGTTGTTCGGAAAAAATCCTTAGATTTCCTTAGATTTTTTCTCTTCCTTAGATTTTCCTTTTCGACACTAGAATTTCCTTAGAAAAGGAAATTTCCTTGAAAATGGAAGCACTGTTTTGAAAACGGGTGTAAAGGCACAGTTCAGCCTTTTGAATGATGGCTTTTAACTGCTCGATTTCAGCTAAACTGCTCGATTTCAGCCCTTTTAGCCTTTCTCACGCCGCCATTTTTGGGGTACCGTAATTTTTCGTAAACGATTTTAACAATGTGAAAAGCAATGTTTCAGAACAAACTAACTATTTACAGTGAGAGTAAATTTACCATCATACACCCACAAAATTATAAAATGCCGCCGTTACGTGGTGTTACGCTCGCAGGATTGGCAAAAAAGGTACCCCACAAATGGCGGCATGAGAAAGGCTAATTGAAAAAACTAACTAGGAAAATCAATTAAGCATAATTCAAGATCAGTAAACTCAATGTTTTTAACAATAAAAATGTTTTAAAATATTAAAAACATTAAGTTTGCTGATCTTGAATTGTGATGCTTAATTGATTTTCCTGGTGAGTTTTTTCAATTAATTAAAAGGCCTGAAATGCGCTTTAAAAACCATCATTCAAATGGCTGAACTGTGCCTTTCTAAACATGCTTCATTATATATAAAAACTGTTCTGGTCATTCAACTTTTTTAATAGGATCAACTATGTCTATAGTCCCTACGACGTCCCTAGGCAAAATTAATCAGCGACAGCATTCTTTGTGGACCTGCTTTCTTGCAATTATTTACGGCATGTAGTAAAACACTGACTACCGGAACACCGGAACACCGGAACACCGGAACACCACCATTTTGTTTGCGGTTAGGGTTTGGGGTTAGGGTTAGGGTTGGGGGTTAGGGTTGGGGTTAGGGTTAGGTGGTGTTCCGGTGTTCCGGTAGTCAGTGTTTTACTACATGCCATTTTTTACGATGTAGTTAACAGTTGCCTTCAAAACAAATTGTATAGTTTCATATATCAGCCAACAATTTTGGGAAAAGAAAGATTATACATAATTAGCGGCTGAAATGTTGTCGGTAAATGCGATACTATACCCCCCCCCCTGCTTTAGCCTCTTCGCTACGGCCCTGCCTGCTCTCGGTCACACATTTACCTATATAGTAGTTACAATCTTGCAAAAGTCGCGCAGCCGTTTATGTGACTTAAGAATTTTTTTTTGTAAATCCTACTGTGGAGAAAAAGTATTTGCTTCAGAAAAGACTTCGACCGACCTAGTTGATCATAATATCAGTTATAATAAATGAACTAAGGAGCCTTGCATGGTGTCCACCCTACGATTATTCGATGCATGGACTAACAGATAGAGAACAATGCAATGACAATGTGTAAATTTAACGGGTCCACAAAAAAGGTGCAAAAAACTTAAATATATTAAATATATGCTGTTGTATAACCCTTGGACCTGGTCAAATGAGGACATGAGAGTTAATCGAATTGTTATGGAAGATATTTCAGGCTCTAGATTAACAAAACAAAGGTTTTATGAGTTTTCCAACTTTGTTCTCTATAAATAGAGAACATTGTAGTGTTGAGAAGAACAGGTCGCGTGACTGCCAATGAATAATAATTATATAAACTATCAATAAAGACTAATTTATAGTGGATTCAAAGCCCGATATTCAAACTGCATTGAAGCGTAATAACGGAGTCATGCAACGCTTCAGTCGACACTCCGGCAGGCTAGCGAAAGAAAACATGTCTGAACTACTGAGTTAAACCTGGTTGCTGTATAAACTTCTAATATGTAATTATTTAAATATGTTTGATGCGAAACCAGGACTCCGTCATATTGAGTATAGACATTCTCTGGTTAAAATATTTATTTTTCACAAGCTTTCGACTGTCAGTCTACAATCTTCAACGGGTAGATTATAATGAAAGTGATACGAGGTTTACAATTACATATACGGTATACATATTATGTATACCCAGCATGAGCTTCACCTTTGAATTTACTATATGAGTAAATTCTTAAACACGTCCGAATTTATCATTATGATAAATTCGCGGCACATTTTGAATTTATCATAATAATAAATTCGCGGCACCTAACACTAACCCTAACCCCAACCCTAACCACTAACCCCTAACCCCTAACCCTAAATTTTTTAACTTTTAAATTTTTTTTAACTTTTTAAACTTTTTTAAAAATCTAACTTTTTAAACTTTTTTTGCTTTTTAAAACTCTTTTAAAACTTTTTTAAAACTTTTTTAAAAACTATTTTCTTAAAAAAATTGAAAAACTCCCCACCCCTGCGCGACAAGTCTCCATTTTAGTGCCATTACATTTATAACAAGAAGCCTTGTCTAATGCTTGTCAGCTTGTGGTTTTATGTTTAATTACTCTATTGATAAATTCAAAATGTGCCGCGAATTTATCATTATGATGATAAATTCGGACGTGTTTAAGAATTTACTCATATAGTAAATTCAAAGGTGGAGCTCATGTTGGTATACCATGCATATATCAGTGGCGTGCTGGCAGGGGGGGGCCGGGGGGCCACGGCCCCCCAGCTGGCAATTTTTGGGGAGCGCAAAAATGAAAAGGGGGCGCCGATCCTGCGCCGAATTTTGAAAGTGGGTGGGAAAAAAACGCATTTGAAAAAATATAGTTACTGCCACCAAGAAAAAATGTGTTTATAGGCTTATAAACAGACTGAGCGCATAGGCGACAAAGTGATATATTAAATTACAGACTATTTTGTCTAACCAGCCAGTATTGCTACCTCACACGAAATCGTTCATATAGAAACATGATCAGTGATCACACGCAATGTCGCATTACCGGAATATTGGCCAGGTTTCGAAGCGATCACGGGAATTATGCCCTTTTTTGCTTGTATTATGCCCTTATATTATGCCTTTATATTGCTTCACGAATCACGAGAGCGGCGCAAATTAGATAGTTATGATAATGTAAAGTTGTGTACGCAATTTAGTTGCGGTTTGAACAAGAAACATCATAACTCATCGAGTAATGTGAGTAGTAAGATAATGCTGAAACGCGCGCCCTTTTGGCAGCCAGGCAAGGAAACCTTAAACGGCATGGTGTACCACTGACATCGACTCGCACCGATGTGCAGATGAACTGCTCAACTTTGCAGAATCTTTTCAAAAATCGAAGTGTTCAGTGATTTTTGATGAAGACCGAAAGAAGAAGAGAAAGATTCTGATTTAGACTCCGGTTCTGAATCTGAAACCGAAGACTACGAAGAAGAAACCGGCAGCGAGTCAAGCGACGACGGAACTGCTGAAGAACCAAAGGACAAGGATAAACAATCATTTCTAGAAGCTCTGAGAATTTTGTCGAATCCTGATTACCACCTAGTTGATGCATTTCCAACTCTTTGTAAAGTTTACGCGATCGCAGTTGCAATTCCAATCAAACCCGCACACGTTCGTCTTTGTCCCAAGAAAAACTTGAAGCTGATTGCTACTTATGACCGGCACTGAACGGAAGATTTTAATGTCTTTGAAAAAGGAGCAGATTATTACCTCCGTCTGACATCAGAATTGTCGAAGGCGCTTATATGAAAATGTTTAGAAATGCTATAGAAATCGACAATGGTTATTGAAACATTAAAGACATTGGAGAACATCGATCGATCGATATGGGCAATACTTGACGTTATCAACATTCGATACAACACGTGAAAAAAGTAAACTATCAAGTGATATACTGTATAGTATTTTAAAACTCTTTTTGTATGTTTTGACAAAAAACATGACAGATTCGTATGAATAAAGTGCAAGCACACCGTTTTAGTAAAACATTACAAGTTATTAGTGAGATCGGCGTTTATTATAAATCAAAATATTTTATACAAATATACTCAACGAATGACTTTGTTCCTCCACAATTAATCTAAAATAAAGATTTATAGTAAAACTGATACCGTACCAATTTAAGTTCCTCTACGGAAATTCTAACCAAATTGCAAATTTCGACTCGTTATAATCTCGTTTCCTGACCATCAGATTTCTGTCAAATCTTCCCCCCAAAGTCCAGGAAATGGCATTTCAGAGACTCTAAATTTAAAAATTTTCCGGGGGGGCATGCCCTCGGACCCCCTTAGGAACACCTCGCACCTGCGGCGCTCGGCTCGTGCCTTCGGCCCTCGTTTATCAAGCGTCACATTATAGGGGCGCATATTGGTTGATAGCCCACTGGCCCCCCCAGAAAAATAGTACCCAGCACGCCACTGGCATATATGTAATTAATTTGTAAACCTCGCATCACTTCATTATAATCTACCCGTTGAAGACTGTAGACTGACAGTCGAAAGCTTGTGAAAAACAAATATTTTAACCAGAGAACGTCTATACTCAAATGTAATTATTATTTGGTATATTTTCCTTACTATTGACGTCCACCACAAGAACGTTGTATAATACTCATTTTTCTTGATTCTGGACTATATTTACCACGTCCGTCAAAACCAACACCAATAAATGCCGCGCCGTCAATCATATTCTGTAGTAAAATTGCAAACAGTAGATGAATGGTGAAAAATACACAGTAAGAGATTTCCCATATCTTCACTAGTGAAAATATTGATCACATAATCATTTCCCGCCAATTGCATTGTGTTCACAAGTTGTCATTTCGTAGTGAAAATGGCGAGGTTTGTGAAAGTGACGACGACATTAAGTCGTTTAGCAAGGATCAAGAAAATGTAAATACCAAAAGAAAAACGTTTTATGATATGAAAGTATTCCTTGGTTTCTCGTCACCGCGAGAACGAGAGTAGAAAAATTGAGGAAACTAATCGTTTTAAAGCTTTTACTAGTATGAAGAATGTTTGCGTTTTGAACTCGACTTGCTTTAATTTTCTTCTTTGTTTATGACTTTATGAATATGTAATAAAAAGAACATTACACGGCGGCTTGAAGATATGAATTTTATCTTCTCGCGGTGGAAAACAATATTTTACTCATTCGTAAAATATTGTTTTCACCACTCGAAGATAAAATTCATATATATGATATATTTCAAACGGTATGGCGCACTTGCTTATATAGGGGAGAAAAGAATATCAGATTATTGCATCAGCCATCGACTCAGCCTATCTTCCTGCCAACAATATCTCTAATTCCGCTGCAGTGTTTCGCCCTTTCGCCTTTGCCGGATCAAACAGTACAGCGTACAGGGTTTATTTTAACGTGCAGTTCTACACAAAATGTGCAGTTATAAACCCATTTACCAGTCACCAAATATAACAAAAATATAACCTCAAAACAGTCTTCTCATTTTCTCGTTTTCCTTGTGGATGCTCCAGATGCCAGAAATGCTGTCATTGAGCAACAAAAATCTAAATGTTTTCTGGGAGAGGACCACCAGATCCTCATATTTTCCTCACAAATCACATATGTGCTGGGGTAATGAAACAGGAGGTAAAATTGGGGCGAGCGAAGCTATCCAAAAGAGATTAGAGTGGGAGAACCTAGATATTCTGTGCTGCCTAAGGTTATTATATATTGAGTATATATTCATGATTCCCAGTTACATGTTTTGAAACAGATTTTGTGAGTGGTTGGGCGAAACAAATCTTTGCCAGAACTTACGAGCCTCTAAATTCAAAATTTGGGGGGACACCCGTACCTGTAGCTTCCCCAACTGGAATCGAGTTTGTCTGGCCCCACCCAACCACACCTTTATTCTGCCACCTATATACTATAAATTAAGAGTCTATCATAATTTTCAACGTTAACTATAAATTTACAACGTTAAATATACTGTAGATAAAAATCCTTTGACCCCCTGTCAAACACCCTTTGACCCCCCAGTCAAACACGTGATGCTTCGTAACATCCCTAATATGTGCAGTTCTAAACTTTTCTTAATTAAAATAAACCCTGACAGCGTATATTTCGCAGCAAACTGGCACACTATTATACAAATAATGAATGTTTATGAGTGCAATGGTAAGAATATTTTCATGAGGTGAAAGATGGAATGTTCCATTCAACGAGGCGACAGCCGAGTTGAATGGAACATTCCATCTTTCACCGAATGAAAATATTCTTACCATTGCACGAAGAAACATTCATTATTTGTTTTATATAATACCAAAATAGACTAATAGATTCGTATAAGAAGCATTTTGAGGGATGCGATTTATCGAAAACACAAAGAGTGCAATTGTACTATACGTTTTATTCCATTGCACTCGCGGAGAGTGCAATGGAACGTGTTCCATTGCACTCTTGGGAAATGGAATTTTCTATTCAATATCACGTGACCATAAACAGCCAATTAATAAGGTATTATATAATAAGGTCTATTAATATTAATTTTAGGCTGATAACAAAATATTAATATATTTTGTTGCCGGCCTGTTACGAATGTCTAAAGGCCAGTTTACACTTACACGATTTCTAGAACGGGCAACGAAGATCTGAAGTTAATCAACCGAAAGATCAGATTGGTGACGTTTAACTATAGAACGTTCGGTTTACAATACTATAGTATTAATAGAACTTCGGGTTTACAATATACTATATAGTATTAATAAAACTTTGGGTTTACAATACTACTGATGTTTTCTTTTCTATTTTCTTGGCACTAGGCCCAATCAATCAAGTAGCAACCGGTCTAGTTTTCTTCTATAGGAAGATTTATTTAACTAGCTATAAATAACGTCGAATTGGGATAAACAAATTGGAAAAATATTATTTGCCTTATTAAAGATTGTAAATGCTGTTTTAATTATTGACAATTATTAAGCCATTGACATCGTGGGTTGAACTGAAATATAATCATTCTGTATATATATCTGTCTGGTTGTCTGTTTTAACATCAGAAAAATAATAAACACACCTGACAGGCAGTCAATACTTCTAAAGATTGATAACAAGGATCACCAGGTTTGTATCCAGTCCCCCAACAACCATTCATCATCGTAGTACCAATTCCTGCAGGATATGCATACACAGGTCCACCCTGCTCGTTCTTTTCTGCTTTTTCACCTTCACTGTCTATTTCAGCATTCAGGTGATATCCAGGCGGTACAAACATATCTTCATTGCTCCACCCTTTCTCAGGAGAGATATCTAGTTTGATCTGATATATATTTAACAATTAGATATTAACGAAGCCGAGTTGTCTATGAGCAAATAGTCAACGAAGGCGCAACCTGAGGTCTACTTCATAGCTTTCAATTCCTTCAGTGAGATTTTCTGCCCAATTACTCCGCATTTTATACTTCACCTATGCGTTACATTTACCTCGCACAAACTGTAGAATATTCAATAGTCAGTTTTTTGGACCAAAAATTTGGAATTCGATTGAAAAATCAATAAAAGTACTTAGTGTAAGAAATTTTAAAAACAAATTTCACAAATCAGATTATCAGTCAGTACTAAATTGCTTAACTAAGTTAATTAATATATGATTACCAAGATTCCCTCAAAAAATAAACATATCAAGAACTTTTATCAATCATTGATATACATACGAAGTATACGAACTGTGTAGGACTCAATAAGTATGTTACTTGTTGTATGAGTGTGCATGTAATTGTTGTCTTGTTTGCCTTTTTCAGTTTTTCTAATATCACAAGAAAAAATTATACGGTCGCTGTAATTAGTGTTCTTTATATTTTGTTTTGATTAATATATAGCTATCTGACTAGATTGTCCCATAAATCAGTTATTTCAGATAGCTACACTCATTCTTTTATTGTAACTACGTTTAGTATTTTTGCACAAGTGAACATAACAAATCCTACACGTTGATTGATCAAATTTGACGTATAATAAGCTGTTATATACAGGTGAATATAACAAAACAGAAATTTTCAAAATGGCGGCTACCCGTTTTGTGGAAGTTTACTGACAAAGAAATAAGCGAAATTAAAATAAATTCAGTCTCAAAAAAACACAAAAGCTTGTGTAAAAATACTAAACCTCGACTTCGTCTCGGCGAATATTCCCCGATAATCACCTCGCGCGCCTTCGGCGAATAATTGTTAAATATTACTTAAAAAAATGTATTGTAACTTTCTGAGTGAAATAAAGATGTATGCACGGTGGAACGTAACCGAACATAACCCTACCTATACAACGACGTATCACGTGCAGTTAGGTACTATTGTACTAATGCCCCATCGGAGATTATCACACTCGCCCGCGGCTTTCAGCCTTGCAGGTAGCTACGGGCGACATATTGATTACAGTGACTATATACACGATGCATTAATGTTGCCATATACGTACAGTATAATATTTTAAAACAACAACAGTCACATACCCTCTTATTTAGAAATGCTTCAGATTTATTCTGTGCTCCCTCTATATTTGCTATCTGCTTATCAATTGCGTTTCCTACAACTTCAATGCCTTTTTCGACAACAGCCTCTTGAATTTTGTCGCTGCTAGCAGCGGCTTCGACGGCCGCACGCTTCAATCCTGTTGTTGTATGACCTATTTATGATGAAAAATCAATATACAAACATAATATATTTTATCGGTTTTGTTAAAGGAAGGGTAGGACAGCATGGGTATTCCACAGCGGTCGTAGTACACGCCGGCATTGATTTTCGATTCACTTCACTCTTCAGCGATGCAATTATTTAAAAACCGCGTAGACAGTTGGATCCCTCCTCACTTCTCATTGCATGCTCTGCACCCTATAGTCATATAGGCGACAACATATGACTAATTCTTTATAATTAAAGTTCCTTAAATCCCGTTCAAATTTTCTTCTCTGGCTCACTTGCATGTGAATATATTTCTTCCTGTTTGTTCTTATTGACTTTATTACCAACTCACAGTTTTTCCTTGGTTCTCTGGTTTTCAAATAGTTATACATGCACTGGATGATTGAGGAATGCATAGAAAAGAGTTAGAGCTCATAAAGCTTGTCTAATTAGTCGGACTTATAAGTTTTCGGTTTTGGTATAAGTCACAAATTCATTCAAACCATGCAGTAATATTATATCGAAGTTCACTGAAATAGAAACGATTCTATGGATATCAGAACTTTTTGTAAATCAATAAATGATTGGCCATTACATGAATTGTGAGGCTAATTCTGCAGGGAAACGGATATGAAATTATTTTCATCGTTTTCTATCCAAACTTTGAAACAAAGGTCTTATTTGGCCATGGAATGAAATGGATTTAATCCCCTATATGAAGAAAAATATTAAATGCAATCCCCCTCGCATGCAGGAGAATAACGTTACTGCCTAACCTGGTTGTGTTTTAATAGAGTAAACAGATTAACACTATATATATAGTTATTAATTATTGTTTCATATATATACCTCGTGCTAAACTATAAGTTACTTGTGGAACTTCTTCTTTTTTCATATGATTTCGCGGTTTTCGCAGTTGGTAGATATGCTTTTCTTTCTCAGCATCATAATCTATGGAATTCTTTTCGGGCATTTTCATTGACCTTTTTTGCTTACCGTTAACATGAGCAATATTTTTAATAAAATTGTCTGGCAAATTCAGATGGTGTTTTTGGCCAATTCTATATATATTCTGTTTTGGTTGCACTAAATAAGAAAGTAATTATAATTATAGTTTATATACAGCCAATCCTTTGCAAACCTTAAACTCTAAACATTAAACCTTGACGGGGCTCTAAGCGCGCAAAGCTTAATGGGAGCAGACGTTTCAAGCAAAATTGAATATTGCAGCTATCTGCATGTGAATGAATTGTTCTCGTAAGGAGATATTTCCCATGTCTCAGTAAAAGATGGGCCCATATATGATTTCTACAATGATTAAATGATGCTCCCATTATGCTTTGCACGCTTAGAGTTTAAGGTTTTCAGGTTAAGGTTTGTAAAGGACAACCTTTTTTGGATTAGCTGTATACTTATATACGCTTTCAGTTAAAACAGTTCAGATTTAATAATCCTGATTTTCACTTGTCGTTGATAGTCGTCGATGCATGCACTCAACGACCATTATAGTGATCGATGTTAATGAAGTGGGAAATGATTCCTGGATTAGCGCTATCCCATGTCAAAATTTGAATTGAATTGCCGATCACTATAATGTCACTGCGAAAGTATTGCCAACCGACCATCGGCGACATATGAGAACAAAACTTTAGCTATGAATATACTGTTAGACTTGAAGTGTACTGTCGTTCTATTTCCGATAAGCTATAGAGAGGGGGGGGGGGGGGGGGGGCC